GTTTCTGATTTTGTTGTTAAAAAAATGATAGTTTTTATGGCCTCCCTGGTGGCGCAGGCAGTTGAGCGCAGCGCTGTAAAGCTGTCCGCAGCCTCTGCAGTGCCAGTTCGATCCCTGCTGGCCTCGGAGATATCCACATGGTGGGACAGACCTCTCCTGTCTCGCCCACTGCTCCCCTCAGCAGTGTATTTCAGTCAGTCTGCCTGTTCTGTTCCTCACTCTGTCTCTGGTGAATCCTCTTACCCTCCCGCACATCCGACCTGTACCCCGGTTCTTGTATAAATAAATAAATAAATCTTTTGGGGAAAAAAAAGGTAGTTTTTAACAACATAGTTTTCAGTGTCATCATTTTGGTCTGCCTAATTCCTCATGGGAAAGATACCTCCTTTGGCTCCTCCTAAAATGCTATCAATGATCTGGTTTACAATACAGCTTTCTGAAGAAAGATAAATACTTTTTTGCCCTACCTAATCCTCCCAGAATTTGAAAACTTAGTTAAGTATTCTCATTTCATGACAATAAAAATCTGGCTTATTTGTACAGATATTACTTTTAAAATCTGATGACAAGCAGTAAAACCGACTGAAAGCAACTACGCCACTAATGTTAATGTTCATACACAGGAAACTGGTCATTCATTAAAACTAGATTTGTGGGGCCTCCCCTGGTGGCGTGGGCAGTTGAGCACAGCGCTGTGAAGCTGTCCACAGCCTCTGCAGTGCCGGTTCGATGCCGGCCAGCCAGCGAGGGTCCCATATGGCACAGCAGACCTCTCCTGTCTCGGCCACTGCTCCCCTCAGCAGTGTATTTTGTCAGTCTGCCTGTCCTGTTCCCCACTATGTCTCTGGTGAATCCTCTCACCCTCCCACGCATCTGGCCTGTACCCCAGTTCTTGTATGGATAAATAAATCTTAAAAAAAAAAAACAAAACAAAACTAGATTTGTGTAGTCTATCATATGTCTGATAGAAATGGGGGTAATTATAGGAAGAATAATTATGCTTATATCTTTGTAAATGTGGATGCTAAGAGTCTTTGAGGGTTTTTTTTTTTTAAACCTGCAAGGTGGACTGGACACTAAATTCTTCTAGCTTCCTTAGTATAGCTGGATTCCTGGTTATGCCTACATCATTGTGTGAGCAATCAGAAATTTAGCAGTGGGTCACAGCTTTAAATCTACATCTACATCACAAAATAAAGCATAAAACAGATTATAAGCTTTGCAAGGGTGCTCATTACCTACCCGTGTCAACCCAATGAAATTGCCAGGCTTAAAAAAATATTTTTTTCTTCTTGGGTAGGCACTGCATGGAGGGAATACACAACCAAACATTTATCTAAAATCAGAGGGAGGGCCTCCCCGGTGGCACAGCGAGTTGAGCGCACCGCTGTGAAGCTGTCCACAGGCTCTGCAGCGCGGGTTCGATTCCAGGCCGGCTAGGGAGATACCCACATGGCGTGGCAGACCTCTGCTGTCTTGCCTGCTGCTCCCCTCAGCAGTGTTTTTGGTCCATCTGCCTGTTCTGCTCCCCGCTCTGTCCCTGCTGAATTCTCTCGCCCTCCCATGCCTCTGGCCTGTACCCCAGTTCTTGTACAGATAAATTTAAAAAAAAAAGATAAATCAGAGGGAATATAACGGAAACTGTCACAAAAGCAATAGCTATCTCCCAATTATTCCTTTGCGTGGGTTGTACTGGGCAAGAGAACAGCTCTCATATTCTGGCTTAACAGGTAGTGTTCCTGCACAAATACCTCTAGCTGTACTTAGGTAGACACCTCTGGAGAGGTAAACAGAGCTAGACAAAACCCAGACACTGGCTGAATGGTTAAACCCAGACACTGCCCACTGACACCCCACTGTTCTTTCTCCTCTTCAACTGGCTGCTTTTGGGCACTGCTTCCTGGTTTAGAGCTATTCTCCATTTTGGACTCAGCCTTTTAGTTGCTGTAAGAATTTTTATCATTATAAAACTTTGTCTTCTCAGTTTAACTTTTCATTATAAGGTCACTACTGGAATAACGGTCTCTCAGAGCTTTGAAATGGCTACTAAGATTTATGAAATGTCACTTAAGGAAAGAGCTTCCAGAAAACAGAAAAGATGCCTGCCCTGAAAATGAACTTGAACTTAACACTCTTGTTGCCCAAATGTGACCTAAAGGCCCACATAGAAACCGCTTCCCTCTGTGTGGGACATGACCTACCAGAAATGTGTCTTCTGATGACATGTTCCACGACATGTCAGACATGAGCTTTTCTGAGAAGAAAACTGCTGCACCCCCCCCTGCAGTGACCTTCAGGGCTAATGGCTGTTGCCATGGTCCCTGAGGTCCAGCGTGGGCAAGGAACCATGCGCGCAGGGGGAGAACAGCAAACTCCCTAAGATGCAGAGAAGCCGAATGCCTGCCAAGAGATAACGACCACCAGAAGCTGCCACAAAGATGATTAAAAGAAATGCTGACCACCTGGAACCTTATCTCGCTTTCTCAAGGCCCACAAACTTTATTCTGCTACAACTGTCTTTCTAAAATCTTTCCTTTTTCTGGTCATTGATTGCTAATTAAAAAACATACGTAATTTAATAATTAGGCTAATGCAAATGAAACATTACTAAACACTGTGTTATAATAGAATTGTTGGTTTAATAATCTTTCTGTTATGTGCTTGACTTTAGTACCTTTGATATTAACTGCATGATAATGTAAATTCACCCATGACAATTAATTATGAGTAAACATGAGTAGGTAGTAGTAGTAGTAGTAAGTACAACAAGAATATAATTATGTAGAACAAGAATATAAAGAGTTAATAGCCTGTCTACTTAGAAATACAGCTAGGTCCAGATGTATTTTGGACATAAATCACTGCCCTGTCAATGATAAGCTAAACCTATGAGCAAGCTGATTTCTTTGATGTTCACTGTTCTATGCTTTTAGAAAACATATATATACTGACCACTGACTCAAATAAAGTTGCACTCAGATTTACACTTTCTTGAAGTGTGTCTGTTTGTCATTTCTTTAACCAAATCCCTGACCACCCTGCGCAGTCTCTCCACCCTGAGACGGCCTCATCGTCTACTGCTGTGCTGGTCCGCGGCAGAAAACAAACCCACCAAGCATATTAAACAGAAAGATCTCGGTCAAAAGCAAGAAATGTAAAAATCAGACCTAAGTCAAACCATTTAAAAGTAGGACTATGATGGTGGAAATCTGTTTACTGTTCATTTGTACTGAGCCAAACAGCAATTCTTGCAGAAACTGCTGAATATCCAACAGGAGATCAGGCCCCTTGATTCCAAAGACTGCTGATGTGCACTTTTGCAAGAGGACAGAAGCGGTAACCGATTATGTATAGCCAAGAACAGTTTAAGCCTGTCAACAATTCATTCTTTTCTTGAATCATTTACTTAAGTTGCTGCTTCTTTTTCCAGTAAAAACACCCTCAGGGCACACCTGAGGTCTCTACTTGGAAGTATGTGTCCTGAACTGCAATTCTTCATTCCAAACAAATGCCTGGCTGTCTCATTTTGGTTTTCCATTTGCTGGTTAATGGCTCCTTATACCAGCAGACATAAATTATTTGTGAACTGGCTCTCACTCCATCTGTTGGTATAATTTTTGGACTATGTGATATGTTTTGGGTGGACTCATGAATCTGGTTATCATGATATTGATGTAAGTTCTTTATTTTCCACGTCTTTAGTAGACTATTTTATTTCATCACACATTTAAAGTATCAAAGATCTGGAAAAGATAGAAATCTGCCTTGTCCCTGCTGACAGAAGAACGAGCAGAGGACAGTCATATATAGGGTATGACAAAAGACAGTTCCAGTTTTCAAGAGTAGTATACAGTTTCGAAATTGTTACTTTGAAGGAATGTTTGACTTTTGCTTTGATATTGCAACAATCAGGTGAGGGCTAGAACACACTATCTTTTATTTATATCCCACATCACAATCTGGAAATACTCTCCATATGAACAAGTGGCCAGCTTGGTGCAGCAGTTAAAGGGCTCTTGAAACAGACAGACTGGCGCTAGGGTCTCAGCTATGCCACTTAGATACTACTCTGTGGCTTGGAGGACTATTTAAGTCTCTCTAGTCACACAGTCTTCCTTCTCTAAAACAAGTGAACAGTCGCATCTATCTTAAAGGCAGACTGAGAACTAAATGAGTGAGAGCATTAGCAAGGTGCCAGGCACACAGTAAGCTCAAGAAAAATCCCTGCAAATTATTACTTATAAAGCGTAAAGTATTTAGAAATATCTTAAACGAAGAGTTGATTCTGGAACTCACCTGTCTGACTCCAGTTTGCCACACTGTGTAGGGGGGTGGTGATGGGCTGTGGCTGCTGCTTTGTGTTCTCTCAGAATCATGAGACAAGGAACTGAGCGCACATTCCTGTGAGCTCAGGTGTAAACCTTTAAAAAAGGTCAATAATGTGTCACCGGTTTTTCTTTTATTTCACATGTTAACATGGATTTCCTTGAAGGATGATTATTTTGACATGACCCATGCAGCTTCTGGTATTCAGCTTCTAACCTGCCACTTCAAATCCTTTTGCAGAATTTTAAAGAAATTGACAACATTTGACTGGTAATTATCTTCACCTTTCTCAGTTGATGTTAGGTGTTAGCATTTTGTGATGGCACTGTCTTTGATGAAACACAACAATAGCACTGCGATTTGGATGAACTCACACATTATTTGAGCTAAAAGGATAATGACAGGCCCTGAACCTTAACATTTACACCAAGTTCTTCTAGAAAACATAAACATGCAAGGCAACACACTTAACATGTTGAAGGGAGTATGTTGTTATAAAATCTTCCAGCTTTTATTTTCCTTTCCTAGTATGTGAAATTTCAGGCCGTCTATGGACAGCCTGAATGCAATTCCACATTCCAAAGGAAATTTGACTTGGAAGAAGTCGACTGTATCCATCTGTCAAAAGTACAGTTCAAATTTCCCAATTTGCTCTGTTTCAGATGAGAGCCTACCTTTTCACACCACCTTTGCTCATGCTCCTATGATGGCAAGTAGTAGTATTCACAAGGATGTGGTCTTGCCTTCAAAGTAGATCCAGAATCTGCTTCTCACCATCTCGCTGCTCCCACTCTGGTCCAAATCACAGTTCTCTTTTGCCTGGATCACTGCAATATCTTCCTAACTGGTCTTGCTGTTTTCCCCTTTTCCCTCCCACCCAAATTCATTCTCAACCTAGCAGTTAGCATGATCCTGCAAAAACTTAGGCCAGATGATGTCACACCCCTTCTCAAACACATTCATCCACCCAGAGTAAAAGCCAAAGTGGACTGTGGGACCCTGTGGGACAACTCCCTGATCTCCTGCCTCTGGTCTCCACTCCTCTTTCCTTTACTTCCTCCACACGTTCCTTGAACTCACCAAGCATGCTCTTGCCAGAGAGTGTTCACTTTCTGTCCCCTTGCCTGGAAAACAATTTCTTCCAGGCATTCAAGCGCGTTGCTCCACAGCTTTCTCCAAAGTATCTGCTAAAATGTCACGCAGAGGACTTCCTTATGCCTCTCTACAAAAGTGGCAGATCTTGCCCCTCTCCATTTCCTTAATACCCTTTGATTCTACAGCACTTAACTCGGAAGACATGTGAGCAGATTATTGCTTGTTTCCCCTCCAGTAATTAAAATGTAAGGTCCATGAGGGTAGGGACTGAAGCTGTCCCTTGCTGTATCCTCAGTACCTAACAGTCTCTGGCACATAGCTGGCAATCGATCAATATTGAGTGGATAAAGAAATGCACCTTTCACTCTAGAATGTAAGCTCCCAGAAGGTTCCACCGAATTCTTCCTTGTTTTCACATCACCAATCGTGGAGCCCTTCATTTAATAGACCTGTAGGTAATTCTGAAAGGATGAAAAGCAAGGGAGTTCTAGAGAATGCTTGGGCGAAGTCTACAAAGACAGAGGATCACTAACAACCCAAGCAACTAACTACACAGACTGGCGAGTGCCCGTGCTCTAAAATGAAGAGGGGGTAGCGGTATACGGAACAGGGTCTTTCTCCCTCTGTCAACATTTCTGGGCTGAGTTAGTAGTTCCAGGTTGACAGTTGTCGACCCATAAATGACACGACCCTACAATGATCGTCTGAATTTACCAGCCTTCATTCAACCGTGCGCATCAGGGCTCTGCTGGGGCTCACTCCCTACGCCTTTTCTAAGCTTCTAACCACCCTTGGTGATAAGGTCTCAGGAACCCGCTCACTCTTGGCAAAGGCTCAGAGAGGGCAGTGGCCGGTTTCAGGCGGCTCGGCTCCTAGGTGTCAGCGGCAGGATCCGAACCCAGGACCTCCGGCTTCCCGGCCAGCGAACACCGCACCCGGGCCTCTCGAGGCGGACTGAGTCAAGAGCCGGCTCCGCCGCCGCAAGAGTTGCCCGCTCCGAGGCAGACATCCGCCGGCGCAGATGCCCAGACAGCGCAGGGAGTCAGTCCACGTCTGGGGGTGCGGGGGCTCGGGGGACGCCCCTCCGCCGCCAGAGCCTCGGAAGCTCCCGCGGCCGGTCGCCAGGGACGCGCGCCCGGGACGGGGCCGAGCCCTGGAAGCGGGGAGCCGCCAGCCGGAGCCGCCAGGGGAGCTCGGGAACAATACCGGCCAGGGGCGGGGACCACGGCGCCGACTGTGGGCTCGGGGGCTCCCGGAGGGCGGCCGGGCGGCTGCAGCCCCGCGCACGCCCCCGCGCCCGTTTCCGGGGTCGGCGGTGACCCGGACGGCGCAGGCCGGACCCGCCCCCAGACCCCGCGCCACCCGCGCCGCGGGCGCCTTCCTTCCGCCGGGCGCCCCTCACGGCCCGGCCCGCGCGCCGCGTCCAGCGCGGACCGGCCACCGCTCGCTCGCCGGCCCCGGGCCCGGCCCAGCGCCCGCCCGCCCGGGGTCCGCTCACCTGCGCGCGCCCCGCGTCCTCCCGGCGCTCCCGCCCGCGGCGTCTGGCTCGCCCCGCGGCCCCGCCCCCGCGCCGCCCCGCCCTCGCCCGCCCCGCCCCTCGGAGCCGGAACGGCTCCCTTCCGGGTCCTGCTCCCGCCTCCGTCGACTCCAATGTGGCGTCACTTCCGCCCGCGCCCGGCCGCGCGCCAGGAGTCTGGTCTCGCGAGCGCGCTCGGAGCGTACCCGAGGCGGGAGCGCGCCCCGCGGATGACAACAAATTGGTCGCGCGGCGGCGGTGGGAGCGCCCGACTCAGCCCCGGCCTCGGGGCCCGCCGCCGCCCCTCGCGCTCGCCCGCGCGCCGCCCGCGAGCGCCCTCGGGCTCCCCGGAAGGCCCCGCGCCGGGGGCGTCGGGGGTCCTCGCGCCGGGCCCCCGGCAGGGCGAGCGCGAGCTGCGATGGGGTCGCCCTGAGGGGCGCCGGCGCCGGGGGAGCGTGGAGGGGCCGCCCCGGGCTTAGGCCCGTCGCCGCCGTCCGCCGCCCCGAGGCGCCGCCGCCGCCCGCCGCAGCGGGAGCCTGGGCCCGAGGCCGGAGCCGCCGCCGCCCGCCGCCCCAGCCGGCCCGGCCGGCCGCGCTCATCATGCCGTGGCCGTTCTCAGAGTCCATCAAGAAGAGGGCCTGCCGGTACCTCCTGCAGCGGTACCTGGGCCACTTTCTGCAGGAGAAGCTGAGCCTGGAGCAGCTCAGCCTGGACCTGTACCAGGGCACCGGCTCCCTCGCCCAGGTCCCCCTGGACAAATGGGTAAGAGCCGCCGCCCGCCGGGACCGCTCTCCCCAGCGCGACCTGGACGATTGTCACCCCGATGGGTGGCGCTCAGCTCTTCCCTGGGAAGTGTTGAGGTCCGAGCGGGGCAGGGCTCAGAGAAATGTGCCCAAGGATCGATTGATAGTGAGTTTGTGCCCCCAATCACGTGTCCCAGAAACTTAAGAGGGACGCCATTGAGGCAGGGGGGTGTCTGAAGGAGGAGGTGACGGGGCAGTCCCTGGCGGTGGGAGGGGCCGTGGGGTTCTGTGGCAAACAAACCCTATTTCCTGGGATGACACTCCGATAAAATTAAGGGCGAGAAGGGCTTTTGGAGGCGGTAAGCCTTTATTTTGGGCAGGCTCCATGCCCACCACCTGCTAGGTTCAGCTTTGGCCGTGGGGAGAATCAGGTGGAGGCCTCTGTCGGCTTGCCCGCTCTTGCTTCGGGGTGTGTTTACAAGGCTAGTTGGTGTTTGCCAGCCTGTGAATGGTGGTGTGGCCTCGTCGTGCTGCTGAGTTGTGCCTGTTGATTCACGTGACCGATCTCAAAGGCAGGTGTTGCAAAAGCGCTGAAGCTGCAATTTTCAGACATTTTAAAACCTGCTTTCTACTTGTCATCCAGAAGCCGTGAGCTGACTCGTGTGTCTTACAGGTGCTTCATGTATATTTCAGCTCCTCTCATGCCGTTGTACTTGGGTTTGTATCTTCAAGGCTTTGCGTTTTAATGAAAGCATATTCAGCCTTGATTTTAACAAGAATGGAGTGGCTTCCCACCTTCCCGCACCCCTTTAGTTTTTTCATTAGTTTGCTGCTTACAGCTTGAATCCGTTGTACCAGTTTGGAGTTTGACTATTCTAAAAGCAGTCCTACCCGTAGTTTACATTTAGGAAAATCATAATAAATATAGGTTACTCTCTTAACGTAAGTTTACACAATGATAGGAAACCTTCCTCCTAGCCCCCCATGAAGCAGTGTGACAAGCTTAAGTGTTTTTTTTTCCCTTTTATGTGAAAGTATTTTAACAGAGTATTCACTTCCTTAGCTATAGAAACCTGAAAAGCTTGAATTATGGTCCCACCTTATTATGATCCTTATGTTAATTTGTAACACTGTGAATAATCACATAATGTGATTATTACCAGCATGTAGATGACAAACTAGGGAGAATACTTGAGACAGTGGAAGGAGCCCTGGTTTGACTCCAGTGGGTTGCAGAAAGACCCACTCTCACACTTAGGTAGTCCCTGTTGTCATAGGCAGCCAAATGACATTGGACAGTAATTCATTTGAGCATAGTAAACATCTGTGGAGTATACACTCCGTGCTAGACACTGTCTGGGTAGAATTCTTACCAGAAGATTGGGATTCTCATGGATATTTTTGATTTACTGAAGTAAACTGCTGAGGGGAGCAGCAAGCGAGACAGGAGAGGTCAACTGCGCCATATGTGGGTTAGCCCCCTGCCTGGGGATTGAACTCAGGACGCAGAGGTGAGATCGCTGAGACTTAACTCCTAGGCCACCAGGGAGGCTCCTCTGATGGACAGTTTTGAATTCAAGGATCCATAATTCCATACTTTTGGTACAGTTATGAATAGATTATCTTGAGGGAGACAGGTTAGACATTAATTATTGTCTCTTGTGGGTTGAATAACTTTATGCATTACTTTTGGATGACTTCACATTAACACTCTAAATTAGGTATTTTCCATTTTCAGATGGAGTTAAAAATTTGCCCCATATCTCACAACCAGCAAGTGGTACAGAGAGAATTAAAACATGTCTCATTTCCAAACCCATTGTTTTCTCATTAATCACATGGTTTAACGCCAAGGAAAGGACAGCTAATGTTAACTGAGCATCTGTATTTTAGGCACTGTGCTCAGCACTCTCATTTGTGTGGTTTTACTGACTCCTCATGGGCAATCAGAGGGTGATATTTGAAGTTTACAGTTTGATTTCAGGATTGTTGGCAGAATAATTTGGCTAGACTTCCATCCCCTTGAAGATAAGCTGCATGCCCAACCAAAGCCGTGATGTCAAATAAAACATCCAGTTAGCATTTGCTGGTGTTAATTTACTTATTTATTATTAAGTGTGCTGTGTTAATGACAAAGATAAATCTTGATATGACAGCTAGATGTAACTATCCAAAGTTCTGATTCCAATTTCACTTTCTTTTGATCCTTGATTTTTACAGCTTTCACTACTGAAAAAAGATACAAATATTCATAGATCCAAATGGAAGACTGCATGGATCACTGGGAACATTACTGTTGCAGTTCTCAACCATCAAGTGTGCTGAGATCCTGTTGAAATTGACTGTGACATCCCTCCTGTGATCTCAAGCAGTTATTCTTGCTAGTTAGCTATAAGGCATTGCATCTATATGTGTATGTATATACATAAATACACACACACATACAGATTTATTTTATTTTATTTATTTTTAAAAGATTTATTTATGCATACAAGAACTGGGGTAACAGGCCAGAGGTGTAGGGGGTGAGAGGATTCACCAGAGACAGAATGGGGAACAGAACAGGCAGACTGACTGAAATACACTGCTGAGGGGAGCAGTGGGTGAGACAGGAGAGGTCTGCTGCGCCACGTGGATATTTCCCTGGCCGGCCGGGATTGAACCAGCACTGCACAGGCTGTGTGGACAGCTTCACAGCACTGTGCTCAACCCGCTGCGCCACCAGGGTACACCTTCTCAGGGGATGCCCTATCACTCACTATTAAAGTGATACTTTTTCTTTGAAAAGATAGTTTTGTTTTTTGGAATATACCTGTTAGGTAGCATGTACTGGTGGTAGCCATCTGTTATCATATAAATGGTTGGCATTTGAAACTCCTTATGTAGAAGGAAATTGCTGTCATCTTTTAGTTCAAACCATAAATGCTTGAACATAAGAAAATCCAGGAAATCAGAAAGTTATTCTCACTTTCTGTTAACAAAGATCCTACTTTTTAAAGGTCTGTTTTTGTTCCATAGAAAGTGTCCTCGAGTGTTAGCATGTTTAAATGAGCATCCAGCCAAGGGTACTACTCTTTATTCTTCCCTATTATGGGACTACGTAATCTTTTCTTTGTACCAGTCTGTAGGGATGGCCAGACTAAGAGTGCCAGTGCCCATTTGTGTATTAAATATTAGTACAATTCTTAAATCTAACAATGTGAAAGTTTACATAGAATGTCTAGTTTTCTTTTCACATCCCTAGAGGCCACCTGTTATACTCACTGAAGTATGTTTATAAACTGCACTTTGGAGATTACTACCTTAAAGTGGCTTGAGGAGGTAGCGAGCCAGTAGAAGCAAGGGAATGGGAGCCATTCCACAACTGGATTGGACTCTTACTCGTTCATGAATTCTTTTACCCTTGAAGTGGTCAGAAATGCAAAGTGTTGAAAGAAGGAAATTCTATTTTGGTAGGAAGTTGGACTTGATGACTCATTCTTTTCTTTTTAAATTTACTTTTTTTCTTCTAAGTGGAGCTTTTTCATTAATTGATTCAATATGTGTATTGAACCATTAGCATTTGCCACTATGAGGGAGTGGGGCATGTAAATGTGAAATCGACAACATGAAGACTTTTCTTATAGAAGTTCAGTATGTCCATCACAATAGATGTTAGTTAATGATTTGTTATATTGAACCTTTTATTTTCAATTTAATAATATTCATTGCCTAGTTGCTAGTGCTATACTGGTATATGTAATAAAAATAAATAGTGATCTTCAGTTTCTAAATGCTGTAAAAGAGATTAGTGCTGTCTTTTCTTTTTCTATCATATACATGAAACATTGATGATGATTGAAAGCAAAATGTCCTTAAACAGAAGGAAAACTCTAAGGTAATTGACTCTGGTTTGCTGAGCAGCTCAGGTGGCTCTGGAATTATTGAATCACATAGATATTCTTAGTAGCGTCATAAGGAAATGTTGCCTGAGTAGATAATGGGGAGTTATTTGGCCAAGTAGATTGAAAATTTGTCCTGCTAATACATACTGTAGTAGATCTTGGGGTTTCAGAATGAGTGAATTTCTAAGTACCTTCCAATACAGGATATAGGAGATTTTGCACACCTGCATATAACACTGTATATAGGTGTGACCCATTTAAACATCTTATACTGGGGGATACATTATATTGCATGATAGTTTAAATTCCTGAACTGTTGACTCTAAAGCTATTTTCTTAACGTTCACCATATTATTTATTATGATACATTGTGGACTTTGAAAAATATTTGAGTTTTTGCCTGCTTTTGTTGCGCTGTCCTGTTGGCTTTCTACATACTTGTCTCTCTGGTACTTGTAGCTCTTTTGATTTGCCTCCTATACCTGTTCCCTTTTTTATACTTTACTTTGCCGGTTCCTCTTTCTCAGCCCCTTTCTTTAACATAATTCTACCCATTCCTTTGGTTGTGGCTCTCGCTTCACTCTGTGGCTTCATTTACCAGTGCCCTCTCTCTCTCCACCCACATGGCCTTCTGCCTTCAGGACCAGGGTATCCAGCTGCTTCCTGTTCAATAGTCAGCGTGCCCTACCTGTCTACCTAACTGTACTCTGGGGAATGGAATTCCTCCTCTTCCCCTAACCTGCTGCTTCTCCAGGTTTCTCTTTCTCAATAAAGGGCATGCTATCTGGCAACTGCCCAGGCCAGCAGCCTGGCTATCATTCTTTCCTTTCTTTACCCCCTAATATGTAACAGAGATTCATCTACTTCTAACTGTCCTCAGTGTCTTTGTCTTTGCCAAGCCAATTTCTCTGCCTTCTTTTACTTGTAACATACAAGAGCTGGGTTTAGTCCAGAGGTGTGGGGGGTGAGAGGATTCACCAGAGACAGAGTGGGGAGCAGAACAGGCAGACTGACTGAAATACACTGCTGAGGGGAGCAGCAAGTGAGTCAGGAGAGGTCTGCTGCACCAAACGGGAAAGTGCTCCCTGGCCAGCCGGGGAATCGAACTCTCGTTGGAGAGGCTGCAGACAGCTTCACAGGTTGCATCTTTACAGGTTGCATCTTTACCCCTTGCACCACCAGGGAGGCCCTGTAACAACCTTCTTGCCTGAGTGTTGCTTTCCTCCAATAAATGCTCTCCCTGGCAGGGGGAGTTGCCACTAACAAATTCTAACTTGACATGGTGTCCTTGCTTAAAATCCTTCAGTGGCTTCACATTACCCTTGAGTTAAATTTTATACTCTGTAACGTGATTTTATACTCTGTAACGTGAATTATAGTTGACTCTTGACAAACATGGGGGTTTGGGATGCCAGTCCTCCTCCCTAGTTGAAAAATCCATGTATAGCTTTTACTGTTTAGTGGTGAGATGAATTGCAGGGAGATGATTAGCATCACACAGCACAGAGACTTGCAGCCCGTGAGCTCACTGCAATAGCAACCTGAGGTGGCTACGAAATTATTCCAGTAGTAACTTTAACTTTAGGCAGTTATGATTGCATGTTTGTTAACATCTCTGTGGCGAACAGTGCTGTGTGCAATCTGTAAATGTGTGCGTAAACTTTGTTAAATTTTAACTATATAATGTGTGTGTGTTTTATGGTAGTAAATGATAAAATGGACCATTATCTACTACATATATTTTATGCAACGATGACAAATCTTTGCGCTTTTTTAAATAGTTGTAGACAACATAGTTTTGACTGATTTTTCCACAAATCTCCAGAATTTTTCCAATATATTTGTTAAAAAAATCTACCTTTAAGTGGACTCACACTGTTCAAACCCTTGTTGTTCAAGGGGCAGCTGTACAAAGCTCTTTGGACCTCACTCACCCTTGTCTGTGTAGCCTTATCCCTGGCTCATCACCCTGTGCACTGCACCAAAGCCTAAGGTAGCTTTTCTCCTTTAAGGAGCTGTGGAGTTCAAGTATGTGCGCATATTTTCTCACCTCTGCTTTCTTTGCATATGCTGTTGTTTCTGGCTGGATCACTTCATGTGGCTAACGGGCCTTCCAGCCTCCACTTAAAGTAATAGCATATAGCACTTCCTTGGGTGACTTGCCTTGAATGTCCTGGTTTGGTTCCATTTCATACTCAAATTGAAAAATGTATTTCCTTTGCCATGTAATCAGCATGATTACATGTGTCTTTCAAGGTAACATTTCTTGTAAGTTTAGTGAGACCGGGGAATCATTTTTATCTTTGTTCCTGCTTTCTTTATATTCATGGTTCCTGAAACATGTTCAAGCATATTCGGCATCTTTGAATGAGCTAACAATTTTGAGTTCTTGTGACTTTAGAATGCACTTGGTATTTCTCTTTAGTGTCTCAACGAGATCCTGGAGTCAGCAGATGCACCTTTAGAAGTCACTGAAGGATTCATACAGTCAATTTCTCTGTCAGTTCCCTGGGGCTCCTTGCTACAGGATAATTGTGCGCTGGAAGTGAGAGGGTTAGAGATGGTCTTTCGACCGAGACCCCGCCTAGGTAGGTGTGTTATATGTTTGCTTTATTTTATTTTTATTCTCCAGAGATCGGGAAAGTATTCTAATTAAATTCAATTAAATTGAATATTTGTGAGATTTTCTGTAGATAAAATACTAAGACGGGTCAGGGTAGGATACGTGTGACTGTACTGCGATGTGAGCTTTATTCCTCACTCTGTTTGCTCACAGCAACTGGAATGTAGAGGTGATTTTGTTTGCTTAATTATTTGTTACCAGTCATCTAAAGTGACTTTTAAAAATTCGAAGTATTACACCAGAGAACAAGGAAATGCTCAAATACTGATGGAGAAATGTTATGGGATTGGCTTTACGGGGCTCCTGTTGGCCAAATCTGGGAAAACATGAGTAACAAAAAGAAAAGTGACAATGATGACACTAAATTAAAAGAACCCTAAGTCCACGTTACTATAAATAGATATGGAAGGGAGGCAGGGAGAAGGGAGAACTTTTCATTGCAGTAAAATACCTACTTGTAAACATAGAAAGAAATGAGAGTAAAACTGATTTAGGCAGGAATTATCAATGAATGCTAATATCATTTGGTAAAAGGAACTAGATATTTGACAGTATCAGACTATCTCCAGTGACTTCTTACAAATAAATAAAAGTTTGCTTTATAGTGGAGAAAATTGAAAGTCACCACCATCACGGGTGATTGAACTTAACCAGATATTATTCTAATATCTCCATTTTACACAACAGGAAATTAAAGCACACATAGGTTAATAACTCGTGCAGGGTCCTAGCTTGTTAAGTGGATAGAGGGAGCTGAACCCAGGCAGTCTAGTTTTGGGGTCTCTGTTTTTAACCACTGTTCTATCTTGGATCTTATTTTTCTCTACTGCAAGGTATGTGTGTATGTATTTTACAAGCTAGTAAAGTAGTAACTTAAGTTTCTTCTTTTAGTGACAAATGGTACTTATAAAGATACACTTGAAGAATTATAACCCCATGTGCTGTCCAAAACACCAAAGTTTAAATCATACATAGTAGGATTTTGTACCTTTATTTTGAAAATTGGTTATCTGCATGGAAATCTTACTCATATTTTGGTATTTGATTAATAAGAATATCTTATCTTTTAACTCTCATGAGTAGATACAATACTTACCTATGGAAAATAGTTTCCCCTTTAAAAATATTCCACTGGAAGATAATAATGGTGGATTTCTGTCAGTTTGTTTGGAATAATGTAAGGAAGTGTGGTGGAATTCTCTCAGAAGGGGAGATCTGGAAAGGATTTTTCACAGTTCATGGGCTTCTTCCTCCAAGGATGCTTTTCTATTTTATGGGTATACTAACCTGTCACAACCCAGGTCAGCTGCTGCTGTCTCTGTCAGATTTCTGATCAATTCCCAGAGCTAGAAGAATTAACCTCTTCTAGTTATTATAGTGTGTTCTAATGGCATTCATTTGTTGCCTACTAATTTTTCTTTTTAGTCATATCTACTATATATTGCAGGCTCTCTGAGAGCAGAATTCGTAATTATTTTATTTTTTTGGTACCCTATAGCTAACTTATGGCCTGCCATCCAAATCCGGTCTGACACATGTTTTTGTAAATACAGTTTTATTGGGACACTGCCATACTTATTCGTGTATTTTTTCTCTATGGCTGCTTTTGTATTAAGCTGAAAGAGTTAAGGAAAAATGCGAGAGACACCAATGGCCCATAGCGCCTAAAATATATATACCCCCTGATGCTTTACAGAAATAGTTTATCAACCCCTGCTCTGCAGATTTAGGACAGTACCACATGTGTGTAAAATTGCTTGTTAGTTCCTTGTGGAATGACTATATGAATTAACACTTGGCAAAAATAGATCATGAGAGCACATGTCTCTAGACTTTTTTCAGTGATCTGGGTTTTACCCCCCTCAGTTATTATAAGGTGATGTTTAAATCTCAAGAGTAATTTTTAAAATATTGTATCTCTGGGTAATACCATGGTTTTACATATTTCATGGAAAATTAAATATCCTTTTAAAACATGTTATTTTAAGAAGTGACTATATTGTAACTGAGAAATTACTTAGGATTAATTTGTTTTCTGCAGCAACTGGTTCTGAGCCTATGTATTGGTCAAGTTTCATGACTAGCAGTATGCAACTGGCAAAAGAATGTCTCAGCCAGAAACTAACAGATGAGCAAGGAGAAGGATCCCAGCCTTTTGAAGGACTTGAAAAGTTTGCGGAAACCATTGAAACAGGTTTGGCATTCTTGAATATTTTCCAAAATTTTAGATTTTATTTAGTAATTCTGTACCATTATTTACTAATCTTGTGTAAAGAAATCCACTGGAGTGATTTTTAAAAGAATTACTGTCCTCACTTCAGAAGTTTAGAATAGAGGTTATTTAAATATTATATTCAGTTTAATTCATATGTGTTTATACCATGGTTCTGCCTTCATTTATTTTATTATACTTGCATCTTGCATAATGGAGGGATTAAAATCACCGATAGTGTTAGTCGTTGCCCCAAGTCTCTGTTGAAATAGACATGGGGTGGGGTAAGCGCTCAATAAAGCAAAATATTTATTATAAAACTAAAGATTTTGGGATTTTTAAGGCAAAGAAATTCATCTTTTTAATTTGTTTTATTTCTTATTGGATTAATATATTGTTTGTTCCTTTCATTAGAAGATTTTATTTAATATACAGTTATCTCTTATGCTGATGGTTACCTGTTTGTTTACGCTAGTACTGAGAAGAGTGAAAGTCACTTTTATAGACACTGTCTTGAGAATTGAGCATGTGCCAGAAAATTCCAAAACTGGAACTGCACTTGAAATTCGAATAGAAAGGTAAGACTGCGTCTATTGGAAAACAAGTGACCTTATTCTTTTCTTTTATAAACAAATCTAATATGACTTTCAAATTAGATTTCATGATAATTTTGGAGATTGGAGGTGATGATACTAAATTAATATGTTGCATAATTTTAGAGGAGGGGGCTACTCTACAAGGCATATTTTAATCCTATTAATGAAAACATAAACTGTCAGCTGGGATATATTTGTATATAATACTTTGTTGAATTCAAAGCAAGTAATTCTCTATTAATATGAAATTGAAATAATGAATATTTAGTGCTACTAAATTTAAGGCACCTCTTGGAGTTTTTCAGTTTTGTCATGTAAACAATGCACTGTTTAGGCAGTTTACTTAAGGCGAAAGACTTTTTTCTTTGCTGTGCTTGATGTAAGGGCTACCTCTAGTATCCTTAAAAGATAAACACTTCACTTTCATTTTTCTGTGTATGCCCACTTGGAGCCCCTATAAATAAGTTGAAAGCAGGAATTGATCTAAACAGTCACACCTGAATGTTGATTTGCTGTGGTAATTGTTCATGCCAGGTGAAGGTTCAACAGAATAAGTAGAAAGGCGCTTTGTACCTGCTGGAGGAGATGGATACATACTCTGTCGCGTCTGTGGCCCATATCTACTAGTGGCCTTTACCAGATTTGAAGCTTATGTTTTGTGGCTTCTGTCTTTCACCAAACATGCCTATGGGCAAAACAGTTTTCTTGATGAATCTCTGAAATTAGGTTACATTCCCTTAAATGGTATATTTAAAAATATCTAAAACCTCATGCATTTGGAATTATGTTCTGGATTTATTTGAAGTGAAGATTAGTCTCATAAATTCATGTAGTAGTCATAAGAACTCAGGAAGTGTCAGACTTGTGACCGGAAGCCAAATGCTGTCTTACTTTTACCCAGAGATGTCTGTGAGGGAGTGCAGGAATTATTTTCTTGGAGCTGACTCCAGGAAGTTGTTAATTTCCCCCCACATTTTGAAGCCTCATAAAATTATCCTTCTTGGGATTAAGTTTCTTCATGAAAATAATTACTATCGTTAACTCTGTGGGTAGTGCTGACACACTATATTTTCTATGGACTGCTAACACTTGAAAAATCCCTTTAGCTTAAAAAACTATGCATTTCTCTAATTGCACATGGGTTTCTCTAGGGGTCTTGTACAAATGCGCTTTTGTTTTTGACTTCCAGAACTGTATACTGTGATGAAGCTGCTGACGAGTCCTTAGGAATTAATGTACATCAGCCCACAGCTTTTGCTCACAAGTTACTTCAGCTCTCTGGAGTGTCTCTCTTCTGGGATGAGTTTTCTGCATCAGCAAAATCTTCCCCAGTGTGTTCAACTGCACCAGTGGTAAGCAAAACAAAACAAAACAAAAACATAAAAGTGAAATCATAGATTTTTTATAAGTTTAAATGAGGACTGTTAAATAACTTTGCTAGGGTATAATGTTTTAATGAATTCCCATCTGATCTGGGAGTTAATACAAATATTAAGTATTGGGACTTATGTTTCAGAGATTAAAAAAACTGGCAGATGTACTTTCTGCCTGCCAGCTTACTGTGTATTAATTTCATAAACATTGAATACTATGTCCTGGGGCAATGGTATATTAGCATCTAATACCCTTTTATGGTATAGGCAGGAAATAAGCAGTGTTTGTGCTTATCTTACATAGTGAATTTCTGAAAATTTATCTAGAAACCATATCTGAAAAAAACTTCCAATTCGGGAACTCTTTGTCCCTTCCAAGGACAGAGAATCCTTTTATAAATTAGTCATTCCATAATTTATCTTTTACATTATTTTAAAATCAAATTTTCTTTTTTGTAAATATCAAATCTGTTTATTAGAAGGCCATATTTCCTTATAGAATGATAATTAAATTTTATTGCTATAACCTGGACAGAGAATGTGCTTTTTTCATGAAGTTCCTTTTTATTATTTATTTATTTATTTATTTATTAAAGATTTATGCATACAAGAGCTGGGGTACAGGCCAGAGGTGTTGGGGGTGAAAGGATTCACCAGAGACAAGAATGGGGAGCAGAACAGGCAGATTGACCAAACGACACTGCTGAGGGGAGCAGCGGGCGAGTCAGGAGAGGTCTGCTGTGCCATGTGGGTTGTTCCCTCGCTGGCCGGGGATTGAACTCGTGCTACAGAGGCTGAGGACAGATTCATAGGTTGCGTCCTAACTGGTTACGCCACCAGGGAGGCCCATGAAGTTCTTTTTTATGATTTGCCTTTATTATGAAGATGCTGTGCTAATATACTGTTGTGTTTCATGCTGGCTGTGTGATACTGATCTATCCACTGTACTGTAATAAGAGTTTTGTATGTTATATATCTTGCTCTTATTAAATTGACTTTATGTTTGCATTTCAATTTACTTACACTAAAGTATTTTAAAGAATCACTTTTTTCTTATTGCATTATTGTAGGAAACTGAGCCAAAGTTGTCACCTAGCTGGAATCCTAAAATTGTTTATGAGCCACACCCACAGCTAACTAGAAATTTACCAGAGGTAGCACCCTCTGACCCAGTGCAGATTGGAGGGCTAATTGGTAGATTGGAGTTGAGTCTCACATTGAAACAGAATGAAGTACTTCCTGGAGCTAAGGTCAGTATTTGTTTTATTTTCATTAGTAAAGAGCAAAATAAAATTATAAGTATTCTTTGATACATGCAGTGACCCACTGATAGGCTAATGTAGATTATTCTATCTCCAGGGTACCTGGTATTCTTGGGTCAGCATTTTTACCCTCACTAGGTTGCAGAATTCACATGAGAACTGCCTTTACCCTCTGCCCTAACTCAGGTTTTAGAGCTGCTTCCTCCACTCATTCCCTCATTCTAGCAATTCAAAAATCATTAGTTCACCTAACTAGGAATTTATTAAAGAACCTCTGTCATAAAATTAAAAAGTTTAAAAAAGAGATTTGCAAAGCAAGAAATTGTAGAAGATGTTTAAGTATATGTATATAAAAAAAATAAAAATATCCATCTCTGTGTTTTGAACAGAATATTTGTTTTCATAGTTGTGTAATATTTATGAAAAGGAATTGACTCTTCTCATGATGCATAGTAGCTTTTTGAAGACATTGTAAAGATGGCTATTCCTGTTTCTTAGGGAGCAACATTAAGCAGTCTGTTGGAGAATCAGTCAGTTAAGTGTATTTGTCAAGTGCTATATTTATCCTTTTAAAACTACTTTTCAATATAGTCTCTGTAAATTGAAGTTTAATTAAGAAGATACCAAGGTTTATACTTTTTTGCTTATTTGCTGATCTAACTAGTGCTAGATGTTTGGGTGACTATTACAGCCAGACCCTGTGAAGTCTGAGCAAATGCAGAGATGAGTGGAATGCAGGCCTTTACTTTAATAAGAACTTTAAGAAGGGGAATGGAAATAGTTGTGGAAACATGGCAGAGGGAACCATTGAGTACGCGCGAATGTATGTACAAAGTTTTTCAGAGGTTTGACGGGTCTCCAGAAATCCTCCTTGGCTGGGCAAGTCTGACTCCCATTGGAGAAAGTCATGATTAGGATGGCAACGTTCTCATTACTGGTCATGGGCCCTCCCCTTTTCCTGTTGCTCTGTTATACCTGGTATGTGACAAAATCCCTTCACTAGGTTTTAAGCCGCTCATAAAATAGCGTGATGGGGGTGTGGGGAAGGAATAGCATGACGGGGAAATCTCTGCCATGGTAACCTGCTTGGGAGGCTAATACAGCGAAGCCTTTGGGGATGGTATTTCTCTATGAGGAAGAACCATACCAATAACTTTCATAGTTCTGTTTTGATTAATTATAGCCCTCAATATTTGCATATTTGATCTGTGTGCAAGCCCAGATTTCATGCATTGATATGTATTGATTAGCATTAATGCCTCTTAGGTGTTAATTTTGCACATCTGTATATAACATGACAAGTGAACATCTAGACTTTTGCATTGTTAGCCAGTGTTTAACATTTGGAGATGTTACTGTTTTTGCCTGTATGGTGATTTTCATCTAACAACTTGAGTGTTTGTGTTCTTAATTAATAAAAGTTCATACTAAATGGAATAATAGAAGTTTTGGAATATTTGCATTGAGAAACAATGCAAATCTTAGTAGAAAAAGATGGCATCACGTAAGTGTGCTCCAAGTATCAGCTCTTTACTAGTTCATTAGGCTTTAAGTCTTTCAAGTGGGTGATCAAAATGTTGGAAGTTTTCATACTTTTTGGTTGTAAGACTTATTTCCCCTGCGATGGTGTGTAAGTCCATTTTAGCCTATGTTTGCAGGAATGCATTATATATAAAAGTAGGGAACTGCCTATATTAAATTTAGAGACATTGGGTTTCAATTACCATTTTACATTGAGTTTGTAGTTAGCTTAGCTGATTTAATTTTTGTATTTCTGTAGTCCTTGTGCAGATCACTTTATGAACTTGTTTCCTGATCTGTTAAATAGGAACAATACTTAGAGGAAATATAGCAAGAGCTCCTAGCAGAGTGCTCCAATACAAAAAATTAAAAGTGATAGTAATTATTAATATTACTTTTGGAAAGTTCATTATATTCTTAGTTCAAGGAAATTTCTCAAAGTCACCATGTAATTCATCTTTGCCTGATTTATTTATTTAAAAGATTTTTTTGTTTATGTACACAAGAACCGGGGTACAGGCCAGATGTGTGAGAGGGTGAGAGGATTCACCAGAGACAGGGCGGGGAGCAGAACAGGCAGACTGACCGAAATATACTGCTGAGAGGAGCAGCGGGTGAGACAGGAGAGGTCTGCCTTGCCCTGTGGGTATCTCTTCGGCCGGCCGGGATCGAACCTTAACTGCAGAGGCGGCGGATAGCTTCACAGTGCTGCGCTCAACTGCCTGCACAACCAGGGAGGTCCTGATTTATTTATTTTAATTTGCGTTTTTAAAATTACAAAATCCATAAATAGGAGTTAGTATTAGCAGAACTAAGAGGTGAAGGAAAAGTTTAGGCAGGTGTATTCAACTCTTTAGAATGTGATGTAAAGAATAGAGGTGTTGCTTTTGTCAGTGTATACTCCATAGGAATGAGATGAGAGTGGGATGAGGCTTTTATTCTAGAAGGAAAAATATGCAATAAGTTGGAAAAGAAGAGGAAGTCCACATGAACATCTTCTTCCTTCAGTATTTCTGCTGTGGTTTCCCCCTGCGCCCTGCCAGAGGGTGGGCTTTGTGGATTTCAGTAGGTGTTCAGAGATTCTGTTGGTAGAGAAGGTCCTTATGTGCCCTGCTAAGGAATGAGATGTATAGGCAAACTTATGAAAGTCGATTGTATTTGCTCTTGGTTTGAATCAAGCTTTAAAGATTAAGTCTTTTGAAATAATGGTGGGAATGAATCCTCTTCTACTGCTTCCTTGACATTCTTTCTTGGAGACTCTCTTAAGGCCTCCTCAGTTCCTTAAATTCTCGGGAAGCTTAAGTGGCACAAAGTGTGACATTGGACTTGCCAACATGGACTTTCTCAGGGAGATTTTTGCTCTTAGAACAACAGTCTAGTGACCTTTCAGTCTTTTCATTGAGATTGTGTGAATTAGTAGAGGGAATCTTAAGTAAATGAAATCTAAGATTAAATAATCATTATTCATCAGTACTTTAAAATAAACTGGAATTTGTGGATGTTTATCCTGAATAGTTTTTATTTTGTTTTTTCTTTTGGAAGTTGGATGTTGACGGGCAGATAGACTCTGTTCACCTGTTCCTGTCGCCACGCCAGGTGCACTTGCTACTGGATCTGTTAGCAGCTGTTGCCGGACCAGGCAAGTAAACTGTTATTGCTTTTCATTCTTTAAAATTTTTTAGTTGAAATACAGAAATTCTGTATATAGAAAATTCTATTATATTGGAATGCGAGAAGTTAAAGATTTATTGTAAATAGCAATCCTAAATACTTAAATTTGATTAGCTCTTTCAAATAGTGCTACCATGGCATAAATTGGAACTCAGGTTATTTATATCATATTCTTAATTTAAAAAAAAAGATCTGACTTTTATTTCCTGGGTTGGGGATAGTGCCTCATACAACTGAGTAACACAATTCTTGAACACAGTATGTAGCATACATTTAAAAAATATTTTCAGTGCCTCATCTCTCAAAGACAACACTTTGTGATTCCTACCTAGCTGCTTAAAGCTATTGCTTAGATCTCTGGTTGATGTCAAATAGTGAGGGCTTTGTATTGACTGTGCTGTTAAGTTGTCATTGGGTCAACTTAATGGCAGTTGGATGGTGGGTTTGGGAAAAGAAATAATTAACTGACTCCACATTTAATTACTGTTTTGCTTTCTTTTTAGAAAATTCTAGCAAAATGGGGTTAGCTAATAAAGAGAGAAAAAATCGACCCATGCAGCAGGAAGATGAATATCGAATTCAGATGGAATTAAACCGGTATTATTTGAGAAAAGATTCTCTCCCAGTGGGTGTATCTTCAGAGCAAAGCTTTTATGAGACAGAAACGGCTCGTACACCTTCTAGCCGTGGTAAGCACCTCATAAAGTTGACATCAGAATCATTCAGTATCATAGTAGAGCAAAGTAAATTTACTCTTGGCCACTGTTAAGTGGAGTTTAGTAATGAGAGAACAAAGATTCACACTGTGAGGAGGTTTGAGCTGGTAAGTTGACCTAACCCCCAAATTCCAGTGATGTACTGGCACTTGTGCTGGTGTCCTTTTTTGATTGTGTACTTTTATTTTGTAAATCAGGGCTTTTTTTTTCTGTAGAAAGTCAATTTACAAAAGTGTAGCTTTATATGGAAAATATTGGAGGTAATTATTCATTTTGTCAGATTCACATAATTTACAGTGGATTCCTTTAAATAGTAGCCCTTATGAATTTATCAATTATATGAAAATGTAATCTTTATCTAGTTTACCTTATATTTGCAGTTGTTTCAGAATGTATATGAGCATATGAGCACTAATACCATAAATAATAATCAATTTAAGTAGAGAATATTGAACCAAACTAAAAATTTTAGGTTTACTCAAGAAATTCGGGTATTATATACTTCATGTGCATCAGGGTAAACAACCTTCAAAAAAAAGGAAGTAAAATATAAATAGAATCTAATAATGTTTTCAGCTTTTTTTTTTTTTTTTTTTTTTTAAAATATAGAGGCATGTTTTCTTTCTTTCTTTCTTTCTTTGTTTGTTTTTGTTTATACAAGCACTGGGTACAGTCAGAAGCGCGGGAGGGTGAGAGAATTCACCAGAGCCAGAGTGGGGAGCAGAGCAGGCAGAAGGACTGAAGGACACTGCTGAGGGGAGCAGCGGGCGGCAGGAGAGGTTTGCGCGCCATGTGGGACCCTCCTCTGGTGGCCGGGGAGCAGCCGGGGATCGAACCGGCGCCGCAGAGGCCGCGGACAGCTTCGCAACCCAGCGCTCAACCGCTGCGCCACCGGGGAGGCCCTGTTTTCAGCTTTTTTAAAAAAATAAATGGGTAGATGCATGTGAAAGGAGTTTGCAAGATCTTTATAATATTTTAATCTGGACTTTAATTCCTCAATTGTCATGTGACACTGAAAAACATTGCATGTAATACTACATATCATATATATATTAAATAAAAAACATCATTGGGGTAACTTGACCTTTTGTTAACCCATCTTCAGTTGAGTTTTTACTATGTCATTAATAACATGGCTCTAAAGAAATGACTGTGTTGAAAGTTAACATAACGTTGAAGGCATTGCTGTATTCCAGATGATCTAAAAGAAAAATATTATGTTAATGTATATTAATTTACTCTAAAGATATGAATCACGGGATTATGAGTACAACTGACAAGGTTTCACTCTCTCTAGAAGAAGAAGTGTTCTTCTCCATGGCTGATATGGACATGTCCCACAGTCTCTCTTCTCTTCCACCTCTTGGGGACCCACCAAATATGGACCTTGAGTTATCATTAACCAGTACCTATACAAATACTCCAGCAGGGTCTCCTTTAAGTACTACTGTGGTAAAGTATTACTTAATTTTTGTTCTTTCTTTAAAAAGTTATTTCTAAATTTATGCATTTTATTCATGAGCTTAAAAAAGATTCTTTTATAGCTTCAGCCAACATGGGGAGATTTCCTTGATCATCATAAAGAACAGCCAGGAAGAGGGTCCACATTACCATCTAACCTAGCTCACCCAGCATCTTTGCAGAAGACTTGTAAGTGTAAATGACATTTGTTGGTAGTTTCCACTGGAATGTAATAATTTTAAAAATTATCTCTTTAAAAGTCACCATTCAGGTGCTTTTTTTTTTTTTCCATAATTTTTTACCATCTATTCCATTTAACAAAGTGTAGAAAGAAAATGAAGCATTGTTGAGCACCTTGCTGTCAGGTGTTTTAAAATAACCATTCATTTGTGTAAATATTGAAATATTTTTAGTGAAAAGTTCACCATACATTTCATATGATTATTGCAATTTAAGAGTCTCAGTCAACCACCTGATTTTTGATTCACTTCTTTATACTTTCCTTTAAAAGAGTACCTTAGTTTTCTTCTCTGAAAAATTTAATTGAGGCTTAAAGGAAAAATTGGTGAGCAGTTTTTGGTTAATCTCTGACTCTTTCAATATGCTTTTATTAATGCAAAAGCTTTGTTTGTACATTCCCCTATTATACATCTCTTTCATACTTCAAGTATCAGGGGAGGGTCCTGGATATAAAATGTAGAGAGGTAACATTTTATTTTATCTTACTTGTTTTATACCTCTCAAACTGTTGTGTTTTCACCTGATTTTTAGAACTGATATATGGATAAATGTTTTAGAATTTTGTTATAATGGATTGTTTTTATACTTTATATAATTTTAATACATGTATTTCAGCTCTCCCTTCTAGGTCTGTTTCAGTGGATGAATCCAGGCCTGAACTTATTTTCAGACTGGCTGTGGGAACTTTCTCAGTCTCTGTGCTTCACATTGATCCTTTATCCCCACCCGAAACATCATTGAATCTTAATCCATTGACATCTATGGCGATAGCTTTCTTCACTTGTATAGAAAAGATTGATCCAGCAAGATTTTCAACTGAAGATTTCAAGTCTTTCCGAGCAGTATTTGCAGAAGCTTGCTCTCATGATCATCTTAGGTAAACACTTATTTATTTATTTATTTTTTTAAGATTTATTTATTTATTTATACAAGCACTAGGTACAGTCAGAACCGCGGGAGGGTGAGAGAATTTACCAGAGCCAGAGCAGGGAACAGAACAGGCAGACTGACAAAATACACTACTGAGGGGAGCAGCGGGCAGCAGGAGAGGTCTGCGTGCCATATGGGACCCTCGCTGGTGGCCGGGGATTGAACCCGTGCTGTAGAGGCTGCGGGCTGCTTTGCAGCCCAGCACTCAACCGCTGCGCCACCAGGGGAGCCCCTTAGGTAAACACTTATTAACAGTCTTTGCAAAAGAACCAAATGTGGACCTCTTTACATACCCACCCGCTCATTTCCATTTGTTTTTCTAATTCACAGTTTATTTGTAAGTGAATGTTATGAGTAAGGCTTTCTTGCACTGCTCAGAGACACTCACCATAGACTCACTCATTCAAGCTATTTGGCATGCAGAACAATTTAAATATGAGATCAAGAAGATCTGGAGCTTTCTGACTTTTCTTTAGGCCCCTGCCCTGCTCTTGTCAAATTTCTTTGACTACATTTTGCCATCATCCCCACTGACATTACAATCATAAAAACAGTTTTTAGTGTTTTTGGATTAGCAGAGAAGGCAGTGAGGATAAAGGTAGAATGAACTAATGAGAGTGGACATGGAAGTAATCCACATGCCACTGGCCATGGGGTGGGAAATGATACCAAGGCTAGTCCTGAGCTTGGATGCTACATTTAAAATTTTTGCTTTAAAAAGATAGCAAAACTATTGCACAATGCTGATCATATTACAGTGTATGGGTGTATCAAAGTAGCAGGCTACATACATCTTAAATTTTCACATCATTACATCGCAGATTTTCATTTAAAATAACTATCCAGGGCCTCCCCGGTGGCGCAGCGGTAGAGCGCTGGGTTGCGAAGCTGCCCGCAGCCTCTGCGACACCGGTTCAATCCCTGGCTGCTCCCCGGCCACTGGAGGAGGGTCCCACATGGCGCGTAGACCTCTCCTGCCGCCCGCTGCTCCCCTCAGCAGTGTACTTCGGTCCTTCCGCCTGCTCTGCTCCCCGCTCTGGCTCTGGTGAATTCTCTCACCCTCCCGCGCTTCTGACTGTACCCAGTGCATGTATAAACAAAAAACAAACAAACAAACAAATAAATAAATAAAAATGCCTCTATTAAAAAAAAAAATAATAAAATAACTATCCAAATAGCTGTGATTTTTTTCATGGATTGAGTCCTAATAGATGAGGAGATAATGATATTTGTAAGTATAAGATTATTAATGTGAGAATACTGATATTTTAACATGAAAGTGACCCATGAAATGTTGAGCCATAGTTATTTAATACATTGGTTTAGACACACACATATTAATATTTTTAGAAACCATTTGGGCTTTTTTTAACCTTTATCTTTTTTTTAAATATTAAAATTAATATGCAAAGTAGTTTTCATACCTAGCAAAAAATCCCTACAGGTTCGTAACAGTATTTATAGTCATACTTCATAGTCATTCTTACCAGTTTTGACAAGTTTTCAAATATCTGCCAGTAGGAAATACAACAAGCAACAAAAACTAGAGGTAGACCCTCATTTGAGCTTCATTGATTGAAATTTTTAAAATATTGTGAGATGCTTTTAGATAATTTTAGAAATGATTACATATGTTTTATAGATTTGAAAAACTTTACTCACTGCAGTGAAGATTTTAAAATGTGAAAGAAAGAAGGGAACTGTTGGGAAATAAATTGATTCTGGGTAATTTCTTGTCTGCAGAACTGATTTCTTTAGCTTTTGTAAGGGAATGGGAAATTTAAAGCAGTCTTCCTAGTTAAATTCTCTGCTGGGGAATATTAGGTTTAACAGAGGAGGGAAGCGCACAAGAGACTGGTGACGGTACACGGGTGTCTTAGTGGTGGGAATCTTACAGGGATTACACCTGAGAGGGGAAATCAAACTTGTACAAAATGAATGATAATGTAAAATTATATAAATAAATTAAAAAAAATAGTTTTTAGTAACAACTTGAACTTGTCAGAATAAATAGGTAATTGTTATACTTTATTAATATTGTGTACTATTCTTTGATATGTTTTTTATACTCAAGTATATGAATATTCTTAAATGCTGCATTTTTAATAATAGATTTATAGGTACTGGCATCAAAGTATCCTATGAACAAAGACGGAGATCAGCTTCCCGGTGTTTTAATACTGACATGTCCATTGGGCAAATGGAACTTTTGGAATGCCTGTTTCCTACTGATTTTCATTCTGTTCCTCCTCACTACACAGAGGTATATGCTTCTTCCTTTAGTATTATTTTTTAAACTTATCTTGCTTTTTAAGAATTGTATGAGTAGCAATGATTTTCTGTAAAAAACAGGTAAAGAAGTCGTATACATTTGAGTTTTGTTTAATTAGATTCTGAGTATGGCATTGAAGACTATTAGTAGAGTCTGTTAGAACTTACGCTTTAGAGTTGACTTGTTTTTGAGTGACAGGCAAATGACAGGACCAAATGACTTTAGTTCATTCATTTTTCCAATCACTCTTAATTTTGGAAGAATTCAGTTATTCAGCATATACTTACTGGATGCCTGCTATGTGCTTAGTGCTGTTAAGACAAATGAAATGTCTTGTGTTCATGTATTATTAATATGATTTTTTCCCTAGCCTATAAATGTGTCCTAGAGAAACTTTTTTAAAGCTATTAAAATAGCATTTATTACTGTTACTTCATCCTTGTATACTATTTTTATTTTCAAGCACTTCTTTAGGCATTAATTTACTTGAATTCTCATCTACCTTTTGCAGATGAGGTACTAAGAAGTTAATTTGTCTAAGAGTCACTTTGTTAATGACAAAAAATGAAATTTAAAATCAGCTTTTCTGACTTCAAAAAGTTCTTTCTCCTACTATATTAGCATGTCTGTTAATTCATGTATTAATTACAGGTTAATATCTTACATTTGTCTTCATTTTTAAGCTTTTAATGTTCCATTCCAAAGAACGAACTGATTCCCATCCCCCTGTGTGTCTTCAGCTTCATTATAAGCATTCTGAGAATAAAGGACCCCAGGTAAGAGATCTTTAAATTTTGATTTGATAGGTAGTTTGTTATAACTGTCAGATTTTTCACTTCATTTTGTGTTATTTTTAGTGATCATATTCCTACTTTCTTTTTTTTTAAAGGGTAACCAAGCAAGACTTAGTTCTGTTCCTCAGAAGGCAGAATTACAAATTAAATTAAATCCAGTATTTTGTGAGCTGGATATCAGTATTGTGGACAGGTTGAATTCCTTGCTTCAACCACAGAAACTCACTACAGTGGAGATGATGGCATCTCACATGTATACTTCATATAATAAGCATATTAGTCTGGTAAGTGTCCTAAAAATTGCAAGTGCTAATCATAATTATAGCTAATTAATAGGCTAATTGAAGATCATTTCTAAGTTCAAGTATTCTTAATAGATTAAATGGCATGTTTTATTAAAAGAGCATTATTTGTACTAATGAAATATTGGAGACCTTTTATCTATAGATAGTAGTTAAATAAGTTTTGCTAATATACTGAGAGGAATTTTATGTGGCTATTTTAAGTGATTGCTATAAAGATGATGCAACAGCACAAAGAGTGCTCATGAAGAAGTATGTGAAAAAGTAGAATATATTTTCCACATGAACTTTTATTATAACTGTATAAATAAAATGGGAGGCATAGAAAAGAATAGGTAGAAATATACCAGTTGATAGTACTGATTATGTTAGAGTAATAGAAATAGGTTTTCTTTCCTTTATGTGTTTTTGGAATTTTATAAATTATGATCCTCACAAAATTTCATCTAGTCACTTATTCAATAAACTGTTAAACCACCTATAAAATGTAGCCTATGCAATATAAGATACAGTTTTGAAAATGGAAACATCATTTATAATATTTATAATACTGTTGTTATTGAGCAAGTCACTCTATCACTTTTCCCTAGATCTGGTCCTGGTGTCCTTTCTAAGCAAAGCAGGCGAGTCAGATTTGCGAGAAGTCTATTAGGGACTTTGGGACTGGAATTTGGAGCCTATAGGACCGGGAACAAAATAGGCAATTTTTGTTAAAAAGAAAAGGGAAAATATATTTTAATTTTCTGCTTATTTGCTTCTTCCTTAATTAGTGATCTGTACTCATGTTAAATCAGCATTCTTTATCTTATGTTGTCACAGTTGCTAGTTATTTCCAGTTCTGTGGGGCTAGTGTCTGTATTTGCTATTAGCCATGGATGTGTTGGGATAATGATTTAATATATTGGGTTATTTTTTCTGAGAGGGGTTCAGTACTAGAGAGCCAAGAAGGGGAGAAAGAGCAAAGTCTTGTTAAAAATCCAAGTTTCTTCTGACACAAGATGGGAACTTTCTAATCTGTGAGATTAGAGACTGATTTGTGAAATTGAGGAGTGTTAATACCAACCGTAGGCTAAAGCTTAAGCTTCAATACATTGTAGAGAAAAAAAAAAATACAACAGACTTTTACCTGAAGAGCAAGTTCTTTGATCCTTTTATTATAACATGACTTTGAGTAAATGGTGCATACGTGTTTTGGTTTCTGAGAATCATTTGATAGGATCATACCCTTAGGTTAGGTGGGGAGTTCACGGTGAATCGTTTAGTAATTACTTATTTAGAACTGATGACGTATCAGGCATTGGACTTAGTCCTGGAGATACAAAAATGACTCAGGAATGAACCTTTTTGCATTTGGCACAGTTTATCCAATTTCACATTCAGTCTGTAAAGTGGAATATTGGTGGATAAATCCTTCAATTGGTTGAAATTGGTTGCTATGGTTATCTTTAACCATATTGAATAGTTGGTACATAACTTAACACATTATTCTTTTTAGTGTATAGTAAGATGTATATGCCTTCTGTGGTGCTGGTGTCTTTACTTTGGTTCACTTTCTATTTTAATTTGTGTTTTTATGTTAGAGCTTAAGTTTGCCAGTAGTTTTGACTTTTGTCAATAACTGTTCCAGTATAAAATTTCGTGATGGTTTATTAACATGGTAATAAATGAATAATGGAATTGGGTTTGAATGCTTTATATACTGAGTGAGGAAATAGTGATTATACCTATTGGAATGTTGAATACTAATGTCATTTATGTTTATTTACTTAATATAACATTTTAGTGTATTTTTGATGTTTTGTGTTTTAGCACAAGGCTTTCACTGAAGTATTTCTAGATGATTCACATAATCCTGCAAATTGTCGGATATCAGTACAAGTTGCCACACCAGCATTAAACCTTTCTGTACGCTTCCCAATACCTGATCTTCGATCAGATCAAGAAAGAGGACCATGGTTTAAGAAGTCGCTTCAGAAGGAGATCCTTCATTTAGCATTCACAGATCTAGAATTTAAGACTGAATTTATAGGAGGATCAACCCCAGAACAAATTAAATTGGAACTTACCTTTAGAGAACTAGTTGGTAAGATTGAACATGCCTGTAAAAGAGCCAGATTAAAAACACAACTGCTACTGAAACATGCAACCCAAAAAAGTTCACGACAGCCCCCGATATAACAAAATATAAGAATATTATGTTGAAATACAAGAGCAACAATTTTTTTCAATATTGTGTACAAAAATGTGATGTAAACCAGTTTTAAAGAGAAATTACTAAGCATGGTGATTTATTCACTTTATTAAAATACTTCATTTCTGCGGGGAAGATAGTTCTTTAACCTACATTTTAATGACCACTGACCACATGCTTGTTCAGGGCTCACAGTAGCCAGGCTTTGAGAGTCATTCTGTGTTAGGTACTGTGCTAGACACTCACACATTGTTCGATTCCTTTAATTATCATACTGATGATAGGCTTATTATTTTTAATGATCTTTATTGTTTATAAAGACTTGAGAAGAGGTGCCTTCCAAGGTCATGCAGCAGGAAATGCCAGAATCAAGATTCAAACCTAAATCTGACCCTAGAGCTCAGCATTCAACTGCTAGTCAACTAGTGACCCTTCTTTGTAAAGCTTATTTGAAATGCTTGTGTCTTGTCTTGCTGTGTCAGCTAAGGAAGAGAATATGCAGACTTAGAGTGAGCTAAGTCTATGCAGAGCCCTGGCGGGTCCTGACATTTAACCTGTGGGACCTAAACAGCCTGCCTTGTCCACACAGCCCTGCTACCACAGTCCTCCTCATGCATCTCCCTCTTTGGGAGTAAGCTGCAGAGGTTCCCCTTCCTTGTTCTCAGTCTCGCACATCTTTAGAGATATTTAAAGCTGACTCTTGCTGATGATGGCTTTATGAAAGGGCCCTGAAGGGTTAATTGATCTTCTCTCCGCTGGTAAGAAACTCATTATTCTGGAAGAAGGTCATTCTTTATTTGTAAAATAGAATACACAAACAGGTATAGGGTTATTGTGAAAAGAGGTGCTTGATACAAAGTACATATTTAAGGAGTATACTTATTGCTGTGTTCCTAGGTGAACTGCACAGACTTTCAGGAAGAATAATCATTAAGCAGCACTCAGTAAATGATAGCTGCTGCTTTCCTCTGTCACGACTGGCACCTTGCATGTTAACAGTGCTACTTAGGAATTTGAGTTTGAACAGAAAACAGCATTTTTAACTTAGCTGCTTATCTGGTCTCCCCACATGTATACATGAAGTAGGAACAAATGAATAATTGCTGCACAACTGAACATTGCATTATGTCCCTGGGTTAGAGAATCTTTCCTCCTCTAAGGAGGAAAGTTTGTTTTTTTAAAATAGAGAAGAAATGCATTTCATTTAATCAGTCTTGTTTTATTAGGGTCATTCCAGGAAGAGAAAGGAGAACCATCTACTAAGTTTTTCCATGTGTCTGGTGGAGTAGATGGAGATGCAGCAGCATCAGATGACTTTGACTGGCCACGGTGAGTAAGCAAGTGCATGGGACAGGTGGGTTGAGTGAGAGTTTCTTTTCAAAAATAAATTGATGTAATCCCTTTAACCAACCTTTTGTATATTCAGTCTAGGCCAAAAAATGTTCTTCCTTGATGAAGGAACCCAGAGGTAGATGGACAAATTAAAACAAACAAACAAACAAAATATATATATAGACTACTATGCTATGAAAGGTATAAACCTTTAGATACTGTGGGATACTGTTAGATACTGTGGGAGATGGAGTTATGACTGTATGGTCTCAAGTTAGCCAGTCTACCTAGAGGGACAAAGAATCAACCATTTTAAAAATATTTCAAGGTTACAGGAGAAGAGATAACATATGGCACCATTTGGCTAGTTGTCAAATGAATTTTGTAGTCTGTGAGCACTCTAGGACAATGTATTTCACGTCTAAGGCTTTCACAAAATAGTTATTCTTGGGCCCCATCCTGATTCTGGGGTATAGCCGGTCCATCATTATATTTTTAAAATTACACCTGGTGATTCCAGTGTGCAGGTAAACCTACAGAACCATTGTGCTAGGGTTTCTTAGGCAGAAGAATTCTTCCTTAAATTCAGTTAGCCCGATAATGGGTTTATATTACTATATTTGAAACAACTTAGTTTGCTGGAGGTAGTGATTTGTTATATTGAAAACTTTTCTTTGTTGAAGCCTTTCTGTGAAATAACGTCACTTTTGTTGTGCCATCTTCCTGCCATGTCAGACCTACCAGGCTCTTAGAACAGCCATTGGCATACATGCCTGATAGTGACGGGAGTTTAGAGTGTGTGTTTGCATCCTGAGATGTGGATGTGCTTCAGTCAGGTAATTTGGAAGTACAGTTTACATTAGGATATTTTTTAATTAGGAACAATTATGATACTTTATAACTAGAACCAACTGGGACCACCTCCTTAGGTAGGAAAACCCTAAGTTTCAGATGCAGCACAGCTGTTTGGCTGGAGGGTGCCCTGGCTCATACCACAGTGGGCTGATGCGATGGAAGGAGAACAAAGCCTGTGCCGGCATGAGCCACAGAGGACTAAGGGAGGAACGGTTGTTACTTTGGAGTCAGAGCTAATGTCATCGAAGCTAATGTTAGCTCCTGATAGTTTGGGTTTGAAGGTACAAAAAACAATGCAAGTCTTCTATTGAAATTCCTGAAGGGAAAGATTGTTTTGTTGTTGCAGTTCTGAATCTTCCCCCAGTCAGTCACTCCTTTTTTCTGCTTGAACAATTTACATAACATGAGGTTTCATGGGTATGCAAGTATTCCATAATAAAGAACAGGAAGGATTTGATTTAATGATAATAAATAGAATTCATAGGTATAATTGCTGGCTAATAAAATATGAAAATAAGTTATCTTCAAAGGTCAGAATTTCAGTTAGCCAAGTGTAAATATAAAAAATGTCAAGGCCCTTCTGTTAGTTTTACTCATTTCATCAGTTCCACACTTTAAGCTTACAACTTCTCAGAAGTGGGTTATGTGAGACATAAGAAGTCTTGTAGAGAAGCCGAATCCCACCACCAGTGATTTCATCAGCAGTGTTGGTAGCAGTTTGCATAAAAGTTAAAGTCTTGCTGTTTACCCTTACTTCTTGTTTTTTTTTTTTTTTTGGATTGTCTTTGCTCTCAGTATTGTACTGAAGTTAAATCCACCAGCCATGCATTCCATCCTGGAGAGAATAGCAGCTGAGGAAGCAGAAGAGAGCGATGGGCACTATCAGGAAGAAGAGGAGGGAGGCGCGCATTCCCTGAAAGACGTCTGTGACCTGCGAAGACCCGCCCCTTCCCCCTTCTCCTCCCGTAGAGTCATGTTTGAAAATGAGCAGGTAAAATAAAAGTGAGTCGGTGACAAGGAATCGTAGCAATGGTTTTGATGCTTATCATTGAAAAGATGCTTTGTTTACTGTTTTTGCTAGACTTTTAGCTCCCAGATGAAATAATACCTGTTTTTTTCCTTGTTTAAAAGTTAAGAATGAAATGCATACTAATTTACATACTAAGTTGTATGGCAAGGGTCATCTGATGCTTTTCCTTCCACTGTTGTGTTTCAGATGGTGATGCCAGGAGACCCTGTGGAAATGACAGAGTTTCAGGATAAAGCAATGAGCAATTCTCACTACGTACTGGAGCTTACATTACCCAATATTCATATAACACTACCTAATAAGAGCTTTTATGAGAAGCTTTACAATAGGTGAGTTTGAAAACATTTTGTTGCATTTTTGGGATTGGACATTTCTGCCTAATTGCCTTTGCACACCACTTGTTTCCTCTTTTCCCCTTTTTTCTCCTTGTTTGACTGTCATTTGCCATCCAGTGTGCTTTGTGTGGAGTTGATTATAGAGCCTTTGCTGTGATGATGAGCTATTACAGTGTGGTGTTCACTTAGCAGTATGTCTGGTAACGGGTCACCAGTGTGTGAGGGACCTATTCCCTGTGCCCTCACATGGGCTGCTTGCCTGCATTCCCCTCACCTCAGGGTAGCTGTCTTCTATGTGTGCAATGACATGAAAAGAGTTGGGAGATACTTCTTGAATGCTTAGGAGCTTGGCTGATGGGGGAAGGGTAGGGACAGAAGCCCTCTGAGGAGGGACAAATATTGCTTTGGGAAAGTGGATGTGATGATAGCTGTCCGAGAGGTGTATTACTGCATTAGTCACCATTATTGACGTGGCTGCTTTAGCTAGTTCTGAGCATTTTCCCTCCTCTTCCCCACTCCACGTACATTCTTCATCTCATACGTGCTTCTTGATGAAGAGAAAAAAAGTGTGCTTTCTGTTGAAGAGAAAAAAAGTGATATCCCTAGAGAAAGCATGTAATGGGGGAGAACTGAGTTGGCAGCTGGATATGAATTGGGCACAGGGTGCACTTCTCCCACTAATAAGGGTCTGCTTGACCTGTGGGGTGGTTTCAAGTGTAAAGTGAGAATGGTCCTCCCTTGGCCACCCCACAGGGTTGATGGGAAGATCAAGGGAGACGGTGCCTGCCCTGTTACAGTTGGCAAAGTGCTCTCGGACATGTGAGCAGCCTTCCTTTAGTTCTTTATGGGTTTTTACATCTAACTAACTTCCTCCTTTGAAGTGCAGTTAGTAATTTGATGCACGTGACAGGTAAATGAGGCAGTATCTAATGGGAGAGATTCTTCTCACTGCCTTCCATCATAGCCTTATCAGTTATTTTTGTATGAAAGAACATAATAGCTTAAAAAACTCTCTGGTAGACAACTACAAACAAGATTTTGCCACATAAAGTCATCTCTTCCTTATTGTGTGAGACCTCCCTTGAGGTCATCTGATGTGTGTCTTTCTTGCAATGACCTGTTTCACTGAGCACAATACCCTTGAGCTATTCACATTGTCATAATTGGTAAAATTTCCTTCTTTTTGCTGCCTTATCTAAGACATAAGACCAATTAGTGGTAACTGGAAGGAAAGGGGAAAGGAGGTGGGTGTACTAGGTAAAAGGGGTCCATTGTTTGGTGAGGAGAGAATTGGACTTTTAATGGTGAACTTATGTGGTATATATACATGTTGATTTCAGTGATGCACACCTGAAACTTATATAATGTTGTAATACAATGTTATAACAATAAAAGAGAAATGAAAAGAGAAAAAAAATCTCTGGTAGGATCTATTTTCTGTTTCACAATTTAGAAAAATTATCTTCAATTTTTTTAAGGGCTGTTTTTTAGTTTGCTTATAGCTAAACTAGGCAATACACACTTCTCAACTTTTGTCTTTGTAGGATCTTTAATGACTTACTGCTGTGGGAACCAACTGCTCCTTCACCAGTGGAGACATTTGAAAATATTTCGTATGGTATTGGACTTTCAGTCGCCAGTCAACTGATTAATACCTTCAACAAAGACAGCTTTAGTCCATTTAAGTCTACAGTTCACTATGGTAACATATTTTACATTTGTTCTGAGTTAAAGTATCTGGTCTGTCAGTAAAGTAGTAACCTTTTCAACTGATGGATTTAAGTGTGTTTTTTATTTGTAACTATATTTTATAACTTAGTAATTTACAGTATTTCCCCACTTATCTGTATATTGAGCCTATCACTATCAGTTACCAATCTTTGTAGTGACAGCATGTAAATTGTATGAGTTCAGTGGGAAAGAGGCCAACAGAGAAAGTACATTTTTATTATAGTGCCGAATTCTTTGTGAAAGTAAACAGGTTGTAAATATAAAGTAAACAGGTTGTAAAATATAAATATAAACAGGTTGTAAAAATATTACCACATGTTCTTGTGGTAATGTTCAAGGTGCTATTTTATTTTAACAAGCAACCAGAACCATGCCGTTGACATTTCTTCCCACAGATGAGGAGAGTGGATCTGAGGAGGAGACGCTGCAATACTTTTCTACCGTCGATCCCAACTATCGGTCCCGTAGGAAAAAAAAACTAGATTCTCAGAATAAGAACTCGCAGAGTTTTCTCTCAGTTCTTCTGAGTATTAATCATGGCCTCATGGCAGTGTTTACAGATGTAAAGGTAAGAGTTTACAAACCCAGTGTTTACTCAAGTGTACCCAACTTCACTGCCATGCTACACACCCAGAAATGGAGGTGGTTCGTGCTTGTTCCGGGGCGGGGTAAAGGTCCCTTTCCCAAGGCAGGCCTTGGTGGTATCAACATTGGGACATGCACATTCGTTTCCCATCAAAAGACAAATGGCACATGGAACTCCTTTTGGAAACCATGTGCTGGCTGTCTTCCTGAGGGGTGACTAGTGATCTGTTTGTAGTCTAAAGGTGGGAGAAGCTCAGGGATTTGTGTGGCTCGAGACCCCTCGCACTCCCATGTCACATCATTCAGGATTAGGCCACTTGGCTCCCACTTGGGGAGCTTCTCCTCAGCTGAATCCAGAAGGAACACCCCAGTGGTCATACTTTTTCTGCATTTAATTGATGACTTCTGTGTTTTTCTAATCTTTCTATTAGCAAGATAACGGAGATGTGTTGGAAAACAAGCATGGTGAATTCTGGTTAGAGTTCAATAGCGGTTCATTATTTTGTGTGACAAAGTATGAAGGTTTTGACGACAAGCACTACATCTGCCTTCACACTGGCAGCTTCAGTCTGTATCACAAAGGTAGGACGAATGTGAAATGTGTGTGATTTGTTCACTTCTATTTAGACAGATTCAAATTTTGTTTAGTAAAGAAAACCTATTGGTAACAGGAATCTGATATTAAAAATTGTTTTCTGTGGGACTGTTCAGATTCCATTGCCAAATACTTATTGTAAATTAGAAACTGACTTTTATGTTCTTTCTTCACAATGAGCTTATTGAGATATAATTCACATACCATACAATCACTTGTCTAAAATAGATGTTTCCTTGGTGTTTATTATTTCACATGTTGTGCCATGTGAAATAATGGGGATTGCAGTCATTCCCAAAAACTTGAGAACATTTTTACCACCCCCCAAAAAACTCTGTATGTACCCTTTAGCGCTCAGCCCTAAGCAACCTTCCGTCTACTTTCTGTATCTATGGACTTTCGAACTCAAGAAGCTTCATGTAGTGGAATCATGCAGTATTTGGTCTTACCCCACTGACTTCTTTCATTTGCCATGCTGTTTTCAAGGTTCATCCAAATGTACCAGTACTTAATTCCTTTTTCATTGCCAACTTATACTCAGATTTATAGATTTTATCACATCTTAGCCATTGTTCAGTTAATGGGACTTTATATTCTTCTCTCTCAAGCAGTATTTCTTTCATGTAACACAGAATAGACCGTTCTTTTGAAAGCATTCCCTGTGTTACACTGGTATAGAGGGGAGATACTTGGACATTTTTAATGTTAATCAGATTTTCCCATTGAAATTTAATTTTCTTTGCATTTCTTTTTTCTTCTTGGGTCCTGTTAGCCATACCAATACTAGTCGAAAATTATGGCTTATTGGCAGTTTTGAAGTTGGTTTTTGTTTTTTCGTCTTTAGGATTTTGATGAATTCAAAGGAAGTTTGTTGTTTTTGTCTTCAGTTATAGAAGCCCATGAGCTCATTTCAAGTAATAATTTTATTTGTTTTCATTTCATTGTGTATGTAGGCATAGTGGATGGAGTGATTCTTCCTGCAGAAACACGTCTGCCCAGTGCAACCCGCCCACATTGGTTGGAACCCACTATTTACTCCTCAGAAGAAGATGGTATGAGTAGAGCTTCTTCAGATGGTGTTGGAGGAGACACCTTGAATATGCTGTCTGTGGCAGTGAAAATACTGTCTGATAAGTCGGAGTCCAATACAAAGGTTTGTTTTTTGTGCTTTTATACCATTAAATACCTGCTGTTGATTTGATTACCAGCTAGAGGAGATTGTATAAAAGTCAACACACTTATTTTCTTAGAAAAATGTTCTCCAGTTTTAAGTGAGAGGGTTGTTTGGGTAATAAATGTAGCTCTTTGTGTTGCTCTGTTTAGGAATTTCTCATTGCTGTAGGACTAAAAGGAGCCACTCTCCAGCACAGAATGCTTCCTTCTGGGCTTAGCTGGCATGAGCAGGTAAGAGAACTGTTGCGTATTTGTGTACCAGTTAGTTTTTAAATTTATATTGAGATATACATACTGAAAAGTTCACAAACCATAAATGTTCACTCAGGGAGTCGTCATGAAGTTAAGTGCTCCTGTGTAACCACCTCTTACTTCAGGAAACAGACATTATTACCAGTCCAGGGTGGAGTTGCTGCTTTATTTAAAGTTGGATCCTTAAACTTTTTAAAAATTTGTCCTTTATGGGCCTCCCTGGTGGCGCAAAGAGTTAAGCACTGCACTGTGAAGCAATCTGCAGCCTCTGCAGCATGAGTTCGATCCCCGGCCGGCCAGGGAGAAACCCACATGGCAAGGCAGACCTCACCTGTCTTGCTCACTGTTCCCCTCAGCAGTATATTTCAGTCAGTCTGCCTGTTCTATTCCCTACTCTGTCTCTGGTGGATCCTCGTACCCCCCTCATCTCTGGCCTGTACCCCAGCTATTGTATGCATAAATAAATAAATCTTTAAAAAAAACCCAACTTATCCTTTATGTCATTAAAAGGAAAGAAAGTCTGTGTCTCAGTTGCCTGGCCCAGTAGCAGTAAAAGCCTTGTACTTTTAACCATATAGTCTCTAAATGCCATAACTCAGATGACTCCCTTTGACCAATAACATACTTGAGGCATTTCTTAAAAGGAATGCTGTAGTTAATTTTCAGTTTGACAATTCTATATGGTAATGACATAGTCAATTATTTTCAGAGAAAACTTTGGGTAAGAAGTTAACTCTCATGTGAGAATGAAAACTAGGGCACTATGATTCTTAGGCATCTACCTTAGAGGAATTTTTTCTTTGTGTTAGGAAAATAATTATTTTAAAACTTGAAAGAAAACGTTTCCCACAAAGGCATGTAGGAAACATCAAGAGGCAAACTCCTTATCCCCTTGGCTCTCTCCTCCCCCTCGGCCCCCTCCTCTCCCATGTGCGTGTGTCTGTGTCTCTGTATGTGAGAGCCGTCACGTGTGGACGGCCGGGAAATGGATGGTGTGGTGTGGACATTGATCTGGCCGCAAGGGAGAGATTTAGCCTGACCTTATTTGCTTACATTAGAAATGGGGGAGAATAGATGTTGGTAACAGGGGACTCCTTTCCAGATTGATTAGTTATAAAATAAGGAAAAAAGAGCTTCCCCCAACAGTGGACTATAGAGAAAGCTAGATGGATAGTTTTGAGTCATCTGTGACACAATTTATTATTTTCAAGAATTGTTCCAAGCAAACTAGTATGAAAGTACGTACTTTGTTAGTTTCATTAGCTATGACTTTCCTGAGATTTCTGTAGCATTGCCGTTGTGGATGGGCTGTACATTTCAAAAAATTCTGTTTTGCAAATACTTTTTAAAATGAATTCTTTCAAAATGATGATTTTTTTTCCCTTTAGCATTATGATTTTCCAATAAATCATTGCTTTTTCTGTGAGATTCTGTGTTTTACATTGGTATTAAGAATATCATATCAAAACTTTTTTTTTCTTCTAAAGCAGGGCATTTTATATTTTTGTGATTATAGATTTTATACTTCTTGAATATTGCTGATGAACCTGTTTTGGGATATAATCCTCCAACTTCATTTACAACTTTTCATGTTCATCTCTGGAGCTGTGCACTTGATTATAGGTTAGTTTACAAATGAACAAAATAACATTTTCTTTAAAATAACATCTTCTTTAAGTTTTAGGAAAAAATGTAATTTTTTACAGAGTTAAGGTTCAAAATGACTTTAAAATATTTGTTGCATTGGACTGATATTCTGTTGTTTCTTTTTGGTATCAGGCCGCTTTATTTGCCAGTACGATCTCTTCTTACTGTTGAAACATTCAGCGTGTCTAGTAGTGTTGCCTTGGATAAATCATCTTCTACTCTCAGGTACCCAGGCAAACTTCATCGTATACTAGCTGTAACTATCCAAAACATACCAGTTGATGTTTATCTAAACCATTTGATTGATGTTTACTTTGCTGTTAAAATCAACATTCTTTTACTAATAACTGTGTCCATTTATTTAAATCACTCAGTTTTTCTTTCTCAGATGGTTCATCTCTTTTGTTCACTATTGTATTTCATTTTTAGGAAGGAAATTAATTCTTGAGATTTCTAGTTTACTTTTTACAACATTTATATGCATACATGAAAATGTTTATGTGCATGTGTACACATAATGTGAAATCAAAGAACATCAGATATGGGGAGTTTGTATGCACATTTACACATGTATGTGCATAATCATGCTCTCAGTTCACTGTGCTGCTGTGTGTGCATATATCGTGTGTATACACACACACACTTTTTATGACACCTGTTGTACTTTATTTTCATAACTTGGACTTAAATTTGGGCATCTGTTATAGGAACCTGCTGGGAATTTAGAATTAATTTGAGCAGATGATTTAATCTTCTTCTTTAAATATTCCTAGCATTCAAACAGTGAGTTATAAAGAAATGTTAGATGGCATTCATAAGTTAGAAACTACATATAATATTGATAATATTTGTATCAGAAGGAATGATACACCCATGTATATAGTGGCCATGTGGCTTGTGTTTGACGTTAGTTTTTCAAATGTTGATTTTATTTTATTTTTTTCCCCCCTCAGAATAATCTTGGATGAAGCTGCTTTACATCTGTCTGACAAGTGTAATACTGTCACTGTAAACTTGAATAGAGGTAAGAGTTAAACTGTGGATGGATGAATGCTCTTTTATTTTTCTGTATATTTTAAAAGCATTTTAACTCTCGGGTAATAGTAGGGAACTAAAGATCTTTTTAAATATCAGTTTGAAGTTATAATGTCCTTATAATATCACTTAAGTGCATTAAATTATATATACTCTATTTAATGAAGACTTTTTTCTAATTAAGATAAGGTGAATTGCAAGTTTTTTAAAAAGGATAAAACTGTTTTTATTACATTATAAATATTTGTAGCACTACCTGTCATGAATTTTAATGAAGTGTTAGTTTTATTGAGAGTTGGTTGGGTAAACATATTTTGAGAGCTTTCAGATATTTTATTAATTTAAAATTTTAGACTATGTTCGTGTGATGGATATGGGACTTTTGGAATTAACCATAACTGCAGTGAAGTCTGATTCTGATGGAGAGCAAGTAAGTTATTAAAAGAAATGGAAATATTTAAGACCTATTTTTTTGAGAGACTAAAAAATTGAATTTATTGTAGTTTGCCTAATTTTAAAGATTTTAAAAGTTACTATCAAGTTTTAAAATGAAAATATTTTAAAATTGTGTTATAAATGTTTCCCATGGCAAGATAAATGATCATGTTATATTTTATTGAATGTAAACCTATGCCAAAAAAATTATTTTGTCTTCTGTTTGGAAAACATTTTCTCCCTTTTTCCTGTGTCCTGTCCAGACTGAACCGCGCTTTGAATTACACTGTTCAAGTGACGTTGTCCATATCAGAACGTGCTCAGACTCTTGTGCTGCTTTGATGAACCTCATTCAGTACATTGCCAGCTATGGGGACCTGCATGCAGCTAACAAGGCAGAAGCAAAGCCTGGAGCCCCTCAGAGAAAGATGAAGGTATATCTGGCAACTCCACTGATTACAGAGCTCTCCCTCCCACCCCTTCAGCCATGTGAAGGCATGTTTGTGACAGCAAGGTTTTTATGACAGTCCTAAATAGAAAAGTGACTCTGAAAAATCATGTTTCTGTCCTTTACCTTCAGAGTGATTGGTTGCAGAAAGGTGAGCCTATTGAACTTTTAGGAAAGATCATTCAACTTCCTGTTTTACCTTCTTTGTTACTAAGCTTCTCAATCAACATAATGCTTTTTTCCAGACTTAAGATTATTGTCATCTGGAAAAACCATTTATTGTGTAAGAGTTTGTCATCTGGGAGTTATATGTAAAAGTACTTTGAGAAGGTTGATGACTCGTCTTGGTGACTTGCTTACGTGTGTAACCTTCTGCGCGTGTCTTTAATGCTGTCTGATTTTCAGTATCTGTTTTCACATGATTTCCTTTATCCCAGGGCAATAGACAGGTTAGAGATTGTTATTTCTGCTTTTTAGATGGATGTTAAAACCCAGAGAATTTAGGTAATTTCCCCTGATTTATAGTGAATATGGCAATAAAACCCAGCTATTTTGATGCCCAGTTCAGTGCTTTCTTTTTTTGTTAACCATTTTTTTAAAATTTTTTACATCATTGTTCATTTTTAAACAATATTTGCTTCCCCCCACCCCCTCAGGTGTAGTCCCCATAGAGTTTCCTTCCCCAGTGCACCCGTGCACTGTCACCTCAGTCCCCTGCGCTCCTCCCTCCCTCCCTCCCTCTGATCCCTCTCCCGCCTCCTCCCCTGCACTATGTCTCTGATTTGTAATTGTCCGTTTTTGCTTTGTTGTGTTTTGTACTGTTAGTATTTTTTTACTCTGTTGTCTTATTGGCTTCCCCTATATTCCTGCTATAAGACCATCCGATATTTTTCTTTTTCCTTCTGGCTTATTTCACTGAGCATAATTCCTTCTAGCTCCATCCACGTTGCTGTGAATGGCATGAGTTTATCTTTTTTGATTGCTGAATAATATTCCATTGTGTATATATGCCACATCTTCTTGATCCAGTCATCTATTTTTGGGCATTTGGGTTGTTTCCAGGTGTTACCTATAGTAAATAGTGCTGCAATAAACACAGGGGTACAAGTGTTCTTTTGAATCAGTGTTTTTGTGTCCTTTGGGTAGATCCCTAGGAGTGGAATTGCTGGATCATATGGAAGCTCCATTTTTAGTAGACTGAGGAGCCTCCACACAGCTTTCCATAGTGGTTGGACCAGTCTGCACTCCCACCAGCAGTGCAGGAGAGTTCCTTTTTCACCACATTCTTGCCAACATTTGTTGTTGCTAGTTTTTTTGCTATGTGCCATTCTTACTGGTGTAAGGTGGTATCTCAGTGTGGATGTAATTTGCATTTCCCTGATTATAAGGGATGTTGCAGTTCAGTGTTTTCTTATGTCCTCCACTGCCACCTCTCTGCCCTCTCTCATACCCAGATTGAACAATCTGAACAGTTTCAGAAAGTTGAACAGTGTTTTCATTTTTTTTAATGTTCTCTGTGCACAGAATTCTCACCCTCTAGTTTAAGGCATCTCTAATAAGGGGTCTGACTAGCCTCTGTGTTGTCTTTCATTCAGGGTGATCTTACTTCTGGGCCACACTTCTGTTTTTGATTCTTTTTTCCTGCTCTATTCTTACCGATCATAAGGTGACTTATGACACTCCCCCGTAATGTTTATTCTCTTTTCAAAAACATTCTCTGGTTTATTACAAGTTATTTTAAATTGTCCCTTTCAAATTAGATCTTTCTATTTTAGACATTTTATTTTATTTGAAGATTGATTTATTTATGCATGTAAGAACTGAGATGTAAGCCAGAGGTATGGGAGGTGAGAGGACTCACCAGAGAGTGAGGAGCAGAACAGGTGGATCTACTGAAATATACTGCTGAGGGGAGCAGCGGGTGAGACAGGAGAGATCAACTGTGCCATATGGATAGCTCCCTGGCTGGCCAGGGATCAAACCCTTGCTGCAGTGGCTGGCGATAGCTTGATAGCACTGTCTTTCACCCCTGCGCCACCAGCGAGGCCCTATTTTAGACATTTTAAAAGTATGATTTGGATTTGATGAATGCACAGTTCACGAGCCAGAATGGCTAAGCATCAGTGCTGGTATTGAACCCTGTGGATCGCCATTTTTTTGGTAGTCTTCCCCTCCTGTGTATACGCCCTGTTGTCCTTAGCCATTAGCCATTTGTTCATTCTAAGAGATGAACTCTGACCTATAGTGACTTCATCTCCAAGCAGTGTAAAGCACTACAACCTTCAGAGGCAAGCAGATCAGATTCAGTTATCCTCTCTCCCCCAGCTTTGTGTGGTTAGTTGCAACTTCCCTCTCTTCTAATGTATTTCTTCTTAAGATCCCACTTCACTGTAGGCTTCGAGGCAGTGACACATTTATTTCTGTTTGGTTGTAGTTGTTAGGGTGATAATGATGATACTAAAAGCTTTCAGTGAAAATGTAACAGCTGCTGGGCAGAATATAGAAAGAAGAATATGTTCCTATTTCTGGTGTTTTCGTAAAATGTAATGTATTTCTAGGACAAAGTAAATGTTAAGTACTTTGCTTCTTAGAGCATTTTCAGTCATTTCTAATTAAGCTTTTTGGTTGTAGGTAGATTCCAGTAGTCACCCATCCTCACGTGGTCCAGTACTTCCTGATGCAGACCAACAGATTTTACGAGAGTTGATGAGTGACGCCATGGAAGAGATTGACCTGCAACAAGTCCCTTCGTCTATAAAACCACAGTCTGATGGTGAGACGGAGCAGGACTTTTTTCTAGGAGCACTGCCGTTGTATTGAGGCTTACAATATTTGTGTTCATAGAAATAACAAATACCTTATTTTTTTTTAAAGATTTGTTTATGCATACAAGAGCTGGGGTACAGGCCAGAGGTGTGGGGGGAAGATTCACCAGAGACAGAGTGGGGAATAGAACAGACAGACTGACTGATATACACTGCTGAGGGGAGCATTGGGTGTCAGGAGAGGTCTGCTGCGCCATGTGGGTATCTCCCTGGCCAGCCGGGGATTGAACTCCTGCTGCAGAAGCTGCAGATTGCTTCATAGTGTGGTGCCTAACCCCTTGTACCACCAGGGAGGCCCAACAAGTACCTTATTAAAGAAGAAACACATCTGAGTTTTGGTGATATTTACTAGTCAATCACTTTATGTTGATTGAGTGTCTCTTAGGTAAATAATGCTGGCTAGTGTGTAACAGAGGAAATGGAGTAAGTAGAAGACAGAACTGATGTTTTCTGGTATCTTATAGTTAAGTAAAACAAAGTGGTACTAAACCACATTGATATTAGTTTAGGAGGGTTGAGAAATGATATAAGAAAACATCTCAGGATACGGTGAATATGATATATACTCTTGACTACTGTTCAAAAATGGTTGGAATAAAAAGTTTTATTATACTTTAGTGAAAGTGAGATGAGTTGGCTTTAAAAAGTAGGTAAGATTGAGGTGTGCAGTAGGGGAGAGAGAAGCTAATGTTGACAAGGTCTTTAACATCAACAGAGGCACAAAGAGTTGCATAAGCCCTGACTACTAGCAGCCCAAGCTGTTCTAGAACAGAAGTTGCATAAAGTTGGATAAGGCAATAAAGTTAAGTAGGGATAAGTAGGGAGGCACCAGACAGACACCTAGAAAGCCATGGGGGAAACACAGAAATATTTTGAAGCTTTTATTTAAAAAAACATTTTTTTTCCAGTTGGATGAATGTCGTTATTTCTATATGTTGGAAAATCTTAATTTAAAAAATTACTTCATAGGGCCTCCCCGGTGGCGCAGCAGTTGAGCGCTGGGTTGCGAAGCTGCCCGAAGCTTCCGCTGCGCCGGTTGGATCCCCGGCTGCTCCCCAGCCACTGTAGGAGGGTCCCGCATGGCACGCAGACCTCTCCTGCCGCCCCCTGCTCCCCTCAGCAGTGTACTTTGTCAGTCTGCCTGCTCTGCTCCCCGCTCTGGCTCTGGTGAATTCTCTCACCCTCCCACGCTTCTGACTGTACCCAGTGCTTGTATAAATAAATAAATAAATCTCCTGGAAAATAAATAAATAAATAAAAATTACTTAATGGTGTTATAAAAGTATAACATTAAATGTTTTCATTCTAACTTAGAGTCAATTAGAACTTAGGAAGCAAATGGAAACTTTCAGTTTCCTATGTACTACATTTTTTGTTACAAATTTTTGTAGCTAACTAATGTGAGAAAGAGAATTTACTGAGCAGCTGTGGTATACAAGATTCTGTACTGGGTACTAGGCATTTATAAGGGTAAATAAGTCTGAGGAGCTGCCATAGAAGGATTTAGAATCTAGTCTCTGCGCCTCTTGAGACCAAAATGTCATTTTATTCATCTTCACATTCTCAGTTTGGTTTGAATGAATGAATGGAGAATTAGTGATTCTAATGTAATATAAATGTATGTCCACATGCCCTTTGGTACACATGCAATCTTTGCTAAACTTTCTATTGAGAGAGCTACCCGAGGTGTCTATTTTGATTGCCTTGGGCCTCCAAAATTGTCTTCTTTTCCTTGCTTGGGATCACTGCCTTTTCAGGCTGAAGACACACTCGGCAATTGTTTCCACTACCCACTCTACTATCAGAGAGTTCCTGTGGTTTTAGGTGAGGCACTGTTGTAACTGTAAATAGTTGCCTCTCCCCTTGCAATACTGTCCAGAACGTTTCTTCACAGTTCACCCCTCAGGCAGTCTTGTCAGTCTGAAACACAGGTTAAATGTTTCCGCCAATTTCCTGAGCTGCTTTAAGGCCAGATGGCTGAGTGGAGACTGTCTGTAGCTTTATATGACCATCATTTACTGTTTCCTTAGGAATTTTAAACTTTTTAGTGTTTTTACTAGCAGTCAACCACTAGTACAGAATCATTATGAGAATGAATGTAATGTCCTTGTTGAATGTGCTCAGCATGCTGTGTATCTGGTCAGATGCCTGGTAAGTTGTCATTGACGTTTGGAAATGCGCCGAGACTGAATGTTGTCATCTTGTTACCTAGGTATTTTGGATGAAAAATCACAAATTCAGGAGCCATGCTGTTCAGACCTCTTCTTGTTTCCAGACGAAAGCGGGCATGTGTCCCAGGAGCCCGACCCCACTTACACGCCTTTCACCCCCCACTTGATCAGCGACACGGTGAGAGGTGTGCCCACTGAAAATGATGACTTCTGTATTCTTTTTGCACCAAAAGCAACCATTCAGGTAATAAAAATTGATAACATTATCAAAGCCTTAAAATAATGTTTCAAATTGAATTAGCCAAAAGGTATTTGAAAAATATTCTTTAGATTTTGATGACTTTTTGCAGTTCAGCAGTACAGTTAAGACTAAAATGTTTGTTATACTTTACTATGTCTATGTCACATCTCTTAGAGACTTGGAATAATGCTCTATATTTGCAAAATTTCCTAAGAGGTTATTGTACTACAGATGTTTTTTGTAGTAAGTTAACTCTTCAGGGCAGTGAAATTAAATGGCAGAAAGGATGCTGATTTAGAGGTGGTGGTCCAAATAGCAGGAAAGAAAGATGTGGTTTGTGTGAAGGTTGGTGGGTGGTGATATATTTAATTTCCATTTTAGAATCATGCTTATATTTTAAAAATATGATTTCATAGTTCATGATGAGTTCATAGTTCCCTAATCTAAATGGTTAGTTACTGGAACTGGGCCCGTGAATCACCGCTTAAAATACATATGTATTAAACTACCTGTGGTAACTTAGTGAGTGTGTGTGTTTTATCCAGTTCTGGGAAATAAAAAAGAATCAAAGCAATCAAAATCAGGATAAGCCTATTTTCAGGAACATGGTATTTTTGGTCAGTATGTTGCAATATGTCAACTTTGGAATGCAGTATTGATTTTGAATTAAAAGCGCACACACACCCCACACAGTTGTATACACAAACCCCCACATACTAAATCTATGCCTTTTTTATTGTTAAACGAGTCTTAAAAGCTAATTTGTAGGGCCTCCCCGGTGGTGCAGCGGGTTGAGCGCAGTGCTGTGGAGCTGTCCACGGCCTCTGCAGTGTAGGTTCGATTCCCGGCAGGCCAGGGAGATGCCCACATGGTGCAGCAGACCTCTCCTGCCTCTCCCGCTGCTACCCTCAGCAGTGTCTTCGGTTCATCTGCCTGTTCTGCTCCCCACTCTGTCTCTGGGGAATCCTCTCACCCCCCCACTTCTCTGGCCTGTACCCCAGAGAAGTGGGTACAAATAAAAAATAAATCTTTAAAAAAAAAAAAGCTAATTTGTAGACTATAAAAAATTCTTATGAAATGGTATACATAGAACAGAAAGTTTATTTTATCACTAATAAAGCAGAATATCTTGTGTTAGGATTAATGTCAGCAATTATACCTTTTTATATAATGAAATTATTAAAAGTGATAGAGAATCAAGAAATCCCTTTGATATAAAAGCTGTAATCAGAGGTTTCTTTAGGGATAAAGTCTGTGATGCCTGTTTTTTTCATTTTAGGAGAAGGAAGAAGAACCAGTTGTAAAAATAATGGTTGATGATGCAATTGTGATAAGAGAGAATTATTTCAGTCTGCCCATTAAAAAGACAGATACAAGCAAAGCCCCATTACATTTTCCAATTCCTGTAATTCGGTATGTTGTTAAGGAAGTCTCTCTTGTTTGGCATCTTTATGGAGGAAAGGATTTTGGAACAGTCCCTCCTACTTCTCCAGCTAAAAGTTATATGTAAGTTAATTTTGACTTTATTTATTTGGTAGTCTGTTGCAGAAAAATACATAGATTTTTATCATTTTAAGAACTCCCAACTTTATTATAATTCTTTTCTGTATTAGGATTTCTAGGACTTGTAGTACTCTGAGTATAAAGGGTTTCTGAAGTGATGAAGCGCTTATTGGGAGTTCTCATTTCTAAGCCCCATGATAGGAGCTCCAGCATCATAATTCGCATTTTCCCTATAGGTCTATCTAAGTGTTTCTAGGGAGATGTTGCCCTCATGGCAGAGATGAATTCATGTTCTCAGATGTCTCTAAGGTATAAAAAATGTGGTTTTGATTTGTAGTAATACATTGGTAGCAATGCTCTGATAGTTCTGTAATCTTATTTTCTTTACATCTTCTTTGAATATTCCTTATTTTTCATTTATAGTAGTCCTCACAGCTCACCTTCTCATACGCCCACAAGACATGGTCGTAACATGGTATGTGGTGGAAAAGGAAGAAACCATGACTTTTTAATGGAAATACAGTTAAGCAAGGTAAGATGGAATCTTGGCAGGAAAAACCCGCTGAATTAGGGAGCATCAGTGAGGATTCTTTGGTTACTCCTGCCTCCTGATTATATTTCTGTAAGTCCCTGCCCTTCAGATAAGAGAAGAGCGGGTTCTTACATGAAATTCTTACCTCTTCTTTCTTCTCAATTGTTATGAGAAGTTTGAGGTCTTTTGCTTTTGCTTTCTCAGGCTGCCTCATTGAGCAGTAACTCTAGAGCAGTAACTATCAAAAGAACCCCCTTGAGCTTGTTAAAATCCTGGGTGCTAGGCCTGAGGTTTTGATTTAGTAGGTTTGTGATAGGGCCCAAGAACTTGGATTTTTTACCAGTTTCCTGGTGATTCTGATATTGCTTGTCCCAATACCGTACTTGGTGAACCACTGCCCTAGGGTAGCCTGGCTGAGGAGGCTTACCCTTGGAGAGCATGTATTTTGGCTCCTTGTCAAACATCTGGAGAGCAGGAGGGCCAGGCCACCAATGATATTGTGTGAATTTACTCTGTCAGTTTATCTGGGATTGAACCAAGTGTCATATGTTAGGGTGCTTAGTATAGAAGTACATAGTGATGGCAATTTCATATATTTAATTCCCATCCCCCCTTTGGAACATAAGCCCTACCTCCACTGAATCATTTTCAATAATGTCATAGATAGGTAAGATCATAATCTTATATCTTACTCTGTTGAGGGTTTTGCTTGAAAGGGATAAGGAGCTTCACCAAGGCCAAACAAGATAGGCTTGTCAGGCTTCTCTTGGCATGATGAGGTAAACATCGATCAGTCAGGGAGGGAACAAAGGAAGAGATGTTATGTTCTCTGAAAGTGGAATTGAACGCTGAGATGGAATTCAGTGAAAATGAAGTGATATTTTGCATTTTAAAGAGAAAATCAGATTTAGATAAAACATAAAGCTTGCTCCCTGTTCTTCTCCTTGCCCATGAAGGTGAAGTTTCAGCACGAGGTCTATCCCCCTTGCAAGCCAGGCTGTGAGTCCAGCCTCTTGGAGCACCCCGTCTCCAGGCAGGTGCTCATCGTGCAGGACCTTGAAGTCCGAGATCGCCTGGCAACATCACAAATGAATAAGTTTCTGTACCTGTATTGCAGCAAGGAGATGCCTCGCAAAGCTCATTCCAACATGGTAAGTGTTTAAACTTCATATTTTTTTGTTATGTTAATTTTGCGAAAAGGTTTTTATTATATCTAACTGACGAAGAATTAGATTGGGGAAAATTTCTGGGTAGTTTTTCTCATTTTAATGTGAATCCCTGTTAAATATGCTGCTTGAAGTTTTACGTTTCAAATATTACTTTGCATGTCGCTTCTAGGGTCCATTAACTGTAATTGCCAATATGTTGACACCTGAGGAAAACTAGAGCCCGCAGTGATCTTACAGAATATTGGTGTTGCTGGAAGTGAGCCAGTGTGGGAACACTTCTTAAATAAAAGTTGTCTGTGGAGTCTTGCACTGTAGATTAGCTGCAGGGGCTCAGCAAATGCCTTTGAGACTGCAAGTACAACATTATTGCTTGCATTTTTCCCTCTGTAGAGTCCATAGCTTTCATCAGCTTCCTGAGGCAGTGTGTGACCCAGAAAAGTTTGACTCAGGGTTTTTTAAGGAAAGAGGTTAAATAGTTTGGCTTTTTTGTTCTAATATAGGAAAAAGAAAAATATTTTTTTTTCTTTTTACTTTTCCTTTTGAATGAAAACAAGGTCAAAATATCATGAGGGGCAAAATATCTTTTTCTTTCTTTCTCTGTAGTTGACAGTTAAAGCTTTGCACGTGCGCCCAGAGTCTGGCAAGTCCCCACAGGAGTGCTGCTTGCGGGTGTCGCTGATGCCGCTGCGTCTCAATATCGACCAGGTGTGTGCCACTAGCCTGATTGTGGAATTATGATTCAGTACATAGCCCACATTCAGAGAGATATGGCTTAGTAGAATTACAATTTTTATTATTAACTTTTGCGAAGGTTGTGTAATTAAAGCCGAGATCTCTGCTGGTAAAGAACAAGGCAAACTATTTAGGCTTTTGGATCTGACCTGTTGGTAGTAGATGTTATTAACTGTTCCCCTGCAGTCTCCTGCTCCTGGTGTCCATGACATAGCACTCAGTGCTTGCTTCTCCTCCCTGTTCCTTATGCTCATGCACCTAATTCAGCCAGCAGGTCTTCTCAGGGAGTGTGAAGGACTCCCTGACACGTGTGATTGCAAGAAAGGGGGGAGTATGTTTTAATCACAGCATCTGTGAATTCCTTCTGCCCTGGACAAAATGGCAAATTAGCAACGGAGATTTATGGAAAGGCATAAAAAAATCCAATTTCCCATAACCTAGCAAGCATCCCATCGAATTGCTCCCATTCAATTTGCTTTGACCCATAGAGCTGTTCAGACACCATTATTACCTCTTCTGGAGTCTGTATGCAAGGTGTGTGAGATAGGACGCTTGTGGTAGTATAGAGGAGTGAAGAGATGGGTTTGAAGGGAGACCTGGCTTTAATTCTCTTTTACTGGTTGTGTGATTTTGACTAAGTTAACTTTTTCAAACCTCAGTTTCTTCATTGATAAAATGGAAGAAATACTATATGTATCATCATTTTTTTAAAATGAGACAAGTGGTTGTGAAAGCTTTAACTTGGTACCAGGCACATAATGTTAAAGATCAAAACTGTTATTATTATTTAACTGAAGCATATACCAACTAAAGAAAAGAAATGGAGTTTTGAAAAATAACCTGTGTTTGAAATAACCAACCCTCTTGCTACTATATCTTAAATTGGTTTAATTCAGATCAGGTTTGAAATTATGTAGGAATATGTGGGCTGTTGTTATTTATTGCTTAAGTAAGAATGATTAATGTTGATTAGTTATTTAATAAATAACAGGTATTTCAGGAATATACTTAAGTAATATTTACATTGTAAAGTACAGGCATCTCAGAGAAAACATACTGTGAAGCACAGAAGTTTAGCATAACTCCACAGCAATATTTTTAGCTTCTAAACTGGTCAAAGTTATCAGTGTGTACTTCAGATTTGTGTTTTCTCATTATGAGAAGAATACTTTTGATATCCATATTTTAATTTGATTTATCCAGTAGGAATATGTTGAAATATTTATGGGAAAATTGATTTCTGTGGAAATCACCATTGTGAGCAGAACTTGAGCAAGATAGAATTTATGGAATGACTTTACCAGACTTAGTAAGCCCAGTTTTCTTTATAGACTTTTTTCCTTTAATATTACTTTGAGCCAAAAAGAAAAAGAAAAATACCGGATGGTCTCACTCATAGCAGGAATCTAGAAAACTTAAATAAGGGACCAGGAAAATGAATATAAGAAAGTGAAAATCAAAATCAACAAAAAACTATGAACCAGAGAAACTTTTTGGGGGGTGGGGGGCGGGAGGGGAAGGATTGGGGTCAGAATGGGGCGTTTGCAATTGTATGGGGGAATATAAAAATAAAATTTATTATTAAAAAAAAATAAACTGTAAACATTAAAATAGTGAAATGTTAATCTTGTAGAAAATAGAGAAATAAATGTTGTGATTAACCTGAGGAGGAATGGGAAATAACTGCCCACAATTTGAAACAGAGGAAGACAAAGCCCTGCTTCAGATACACTCATGGCGAGGCAGAGTGTAGTACCGAAACCTCCTTCCAGTCTGCATCTCTGAGACTGTTGGTCTCTTTTGAGATAGCAACTGGTGAGCTGAAGATAAAACCAAATATTTGTGTTCGTGAAGTCATCAAGAACCTAATTGAGTTTATGAAATGAGACATGAGATCGTTCAGTAAAAGGAGCCAGTACTCTATTGAGGTTGGAGATGACGCGTATTGGAAGTACCAGCTTGCACATTTCTACTTGGTCAGCGTTGTTGCTCAGTTGCCAGTGACATGAAAAGTAATTTTTTTTTAAATATTTTAAGTCATATTGGGCTGTTAATATATTCTCTACTAGAGAATCTTAAGGCTAGAAATAACTTGTGTGATCAAAGTTTAACAAATAATTAACCAGTTTTTAAAAGTTAATTTATTGAGGTGTGATTTGCACTTAATAAAATCCATATATTTTTTAAAGTTTTATTTTCTTTTTTTAAGATTTATTTATTCAAGAACCGGGGTACAGGCCAGATGCACGGGAGGGTGAGAGGATTCACCAGAGACATAGGGGGAACAGGACAGGCAGACTGACAAAATACACTGCTAAGGGGAGCAGCAAGCGAGACAGGAGAGGTCGGCTTGCCATGTGGGACCCTGGCCAGCCGACCGGGATCAAACCCGTGCTGCAGAGGCTGTGGACAGCTTCACAGAGCAGTGCTCAACCGCCTGAGCCACCAGGGGAGGCCCAAAATCCATATTTTTAAATACAGTTTGAACTTGACAAATATATACACTTGAGTATCTACTACATCAGTTGAAAGACAGAACATTTCTTTATCTGCAAAGTACTCTATCCCCTGTCATCACCACTCCAAAGTAGACACTGACCTCATTTCCATCCCACAGATTATGGATGTTCTGCAGCTTCGTATAAATGAATTGTATCTGGTTTCCTGTGCTCATCAGTAGGGCCACGAAGTTCATCCAGGTTGTCATATGCATCTGCAATCTGTTCATTTTTATTCCTGAGGAGTGTTCCATTATATGGATATACCAAAATTTGTTTATCCATTTATTGATTTCCATTAGGGTTGTTTTCTTGTTTTTGGCTCTTGTGAATAGAGCTGTTAAGAAGTTTGTGTATGAAACTTTTTGTGGACATATGGGCATTTTTCTAGGGTATGTGTGCATATACACACACACACACACAGGGTTGATACACTTGTAACTATTATAAGAAGCTGCCAAGCAGCTCTCCAGTGGTGGTGCTGTTGTATGTGTCATTATTTTAAAGGATAACAGAAGAGAACTCATCTGCTTCACACCCTGACCAAACTTGGTGTCTTGTTTTAGCTGTTTTACTTGATGCTCATCGTGATTTTACTTTGGATTTCTCTGATGACAAATAATACTAGCACCTTTTCAAGTGCATATTTGCCATTCCTATATCATCATTTATGAAATGTTGTGTCTTGCTAGCTTTAAAATTGTTTTTTTTGATAAGTAAGGAGCACAACATAATAGCATAAATGCTGAAATCAAGAATTCTGAGAATGTTTTGAAAAACTGATGATTAATATCCTTTTGTTGTCTTGTGTTTATGAAGCAAAAATGGATAAAAACCACTGTCTCTTTAGTCTTCCATTATTTTAAAGAGCAGATTTATCTGGAATTGTCTTTTTTTTTGAAGGCAGTCATAGAATCAAAACATTTACAGGCAGGTCTCCCCTGGTGGCGCAGTGGTTGAGCGCTGGGTTGCAAAGCTGCCTGCAGCCTTTGCAGCGCCGGTTCGATCCCCGGCCACCGGCGAGGGTCCCACATGGCGCGCAGACCTCTTCTGCCGCCCTCTACTCCCCTCAGCAGTGTACTTCAGTCCTTCTGCCTGTTCTGTTCCCCGCTCTGGCTCTGGTGAATTCTCTCACCCTCCCGTGCTTCTGACTGTACCCAGTGTTTGTATGAATAAATAAATAAATCTTTAAGGAAAAAAAAAAAAACCACTTACAGGCATTTAAATATCACCACCTTGTGGCCAGAGGATAAAATTTTTATATTAATAGTTTATATGTATAGTAATATATAATAAATATGTGTAGTATAAATTATACAAAATATATGTATGAAGCTTAATAACACTAAGAGCAATTCACAAACCCACTGCCCTACTGCAAAACCAGGATGTTTCCATTACTGTTGAAAGCACCTGCTTGCTCTTTAGTCCACTTGTCAGCCTCCTATAAGCCAGTTACCTAGAAAAATATTTTTCTAACTTGCATCATTTATACTTCTGATAAATTTCATCAGTAGTAGATAAATTCCTTTGGAATTTTCTGTTAAACTTTTGGTGTGCTAATAAATATTGGTAGCCCTCATTCATTTTTACATTGCATTTGCTATAATATTAGTTTAATTTAGAACTTCTTTAAGTGGAAGGAAAGGATGTGAAAGAGTAGGACAGACATTTAGTTTTGATATTTTCTAAAATGAATTTGTCAGTTTCAGTGAGGTAGACAACATTGCTATACCTGGCAAATGTGGCTTGGGTGTAGTATAACATCAATCCAGACATTTTTTTTTTTTTAAAGATTTTTTTTATTTATACAAGAACCAGGGTACAGGCCAGATGCACGGGAAGGTGAGAGGATTCAGAGAGACAGAGCAGGGAACAGAACAGGAAGACTGACGATACACTGCTGAGGGGAGCAGCGGGCGAGACAGGAGAGGTCTGCCGCACCATGTGGGATTCTCGCTGGCCGGCTGGGATGGAACCCTCGCTGCAGAGGCTGCGGACAGCTTCACAGTGCTGTGCTCAACCGCCTGAGCCACCAGGGAGGCCCCAGACATTTCTTTTGTAATTAAATAATTTCTGAATAGACGACACGAAATGGGCAACCTTATTTATTTTTAATTTTTATTTTGAATATCATGTTCAGTAAAAAATGTATGAAGACAATAGCATAATGGTGAAAGCAGAAATAAGACATTAAGAACTTTTATGGCATGTGGTGAGTAGCCAGTAGCTGTCTCCTCTGATTGTCGTTAGTGACATCACCACTGCCAGCTCGGGATGAGGACAAAGGGAGAATCGGAATGCGGGTGCCAGGAAAAGAATGGAGAATGCTGGACTGCTAAGAAAATGATGATGTGCTTTGACTCAAAATCTTCCCAGCTTGTAATTTTTATCTTTTGGGGGTCTTAATTTTCACATCTATAAATCAATTTTTTTATAGAGTTGTGAGAATTAACAGTGTGTGTATTATAGTGTGAAATAGAGAAATTAGGAAAGGACTCATTGAAATACAGCTGTATGTGAATAATGAGTAAAATGTGAGTTAACTTATTTCATAGCTTTAGAAATAGATGTACCTTTTTCCCTTTGAGTTCTGATCACATCTCTTAATTTTAGGATGCTTTGTTCTTCCTGAAAGATTTCTTCACAAGTCTTTCTACAGAAGTAGAGATTCTAATGGCTCCAGATCCAGAAGGTATTAAATATGGTAATATTGAAAATATTGAAAAAGTCTGTAACAAGTACTTAGGTTGATTTTGATTGTTATGAGACTGTCTTTATTTTCATTTCTATAGTAATGTCTTCTGTGTTTATTTTTGTTAAATTACACAGAAGTTTCTGTAAAAATACTAATTTGAAAGGTGAAAGACAATTTTCCCTGTAGAATTATATTTATTAAATGAAATTAGCAAAACAAGTTAAATGTGGATTGATTTAGTGGTTGCTCTAAAGAAATACACCTCAGTTTTCTAATGTGCATGTTCTATTTTCAGTTAAAAAGTCCCCTGGAGCTGATGTCACCTGCAGTTTGCCAAGGCATTTAAGTACTTCCAAGGAGCCAAATCTAGTTCTTTCCTATCCCGGGCCAAAACAGCCTCCCCAAGACCAGAGTGCCAGTTCAGTGGAAATGACAAATGGGGAGGAAGAAAAGGACTTCTCAATGGAAGAAGCATCATTTAGTGATCAACCTGTGTTTTTTAGGTAAATTCTTTAATTTTGGTAATAAATTATCTTAAGAGTTTTGAAGATTGTTTTTTGATATTTTGTATAATTAAAAGGCTACATCAGCTTTTCTTTGCACTGCCAAATACTCACTTGGTGTTATTTTATGTGGTTCCCACCTAATCTGTACCCTTATTTGCACCAAGTAGTGCTGGTTCAGGAGTCACCACTCTGCTGATTCCACGGCAGGGGCTTCCTTTGCCTTCTAACTTCTTCCTTTTTCCTCCTCTTGTCTCTCTCTTCCCAGGCACTGTTAAGGCCTATTTTGTACTTGAAACATGCTGCTCTTTTTCCTCTTTTCTTTCACACACCTCAGCTTCGCCATTTCTGCTTTTTCCCTTATGGAAATTTTTTGTCCTGTTTTCTGTTTGCCTTTTCCCATCACTGTTGAGCTTTTCCTGACCCTTTGCTCCCTAGCTGGGCGGCACCCAGGTCTCCTGTGCTGCCACCATGTGCTGTGGCCACGCCCTGCCACTCGGCTAACTGGTCGCACGTTGCGCTGATCCCTTCTCCCCAGCCCCAGGCAGTCTCCCTGCTTTTCTTCCCCAGCCCTTGAAGGTAGCGCAGGAGTGTTGACTCCACGGGAAGGAGAGATGAGATCAGAGGTCCCGAGAGATGAGATCAGAGGTCCTGTGTGTGAGGGACAGGGGGCTCCCTTCACTGCTCTTCTGTACCCTTCTTCCCCGGGGACATCAGCATTCCCCAGTTTCCGCCTTTCTTCTAAATAGTGGGAAAGTAAAGGTTAGATTTCTGGCATGGCCCAAAGTAGGCAGAAAAGTGTTATCATGGTTTGATGTCTTGTGGACTGATGAAGCAGATAGAAAATACGCAAAGTAGTAAAGAAAAAAAATGATAGCATATGAGAATTGGAAAGGTGCTGGATGAGGATCTCTGGTGACTGACCCTTCATGGTTTTCCCACAGTGACCTTAAAAAATATATTTTTCTGTCTAAAATTGTAAATGATAGTAATTTGGAATATTCATTTTAAATTTATCACATGTAATTTGCCAATTTGGTTTCTGCAAGTGTTATAGAGCAACCCCGATATTAAACAACCCAAAGTCACTCTCAGAGCTGGCCGGACGCTGCGAGCTGGCGGAGAGCCCACAATGGGGGATCCCCAAAGCCCACGTGTCTGCCTTTTGTATCCACCTGGCTGCTTAACCCCACCCTCAGGTCCCAGCCACCTTCCCTTTGGTGGTGATGGGATTTGGAGTTCCCAGTGTCTTTGGCTTTGACCTGGGGTGGGGGTGGAGTCCACAAAGCCTATATGGAATTTGCTTTGGGACAGCCTTTTCCCCCTAACACAAGCACTGGATAACCAGCATAAGACATACTGACTTGTTGCAATTCTGGCCTGAAAGCAAAGACATTTGACACTTTTAGTCATCTTAGGTACATGTTCATTTCAATTAGGTTATTTAAAATACTGAAAATAGCTTATAGATTTCCATTTCTATTCTTGAAAGCTCCTAGGGGTTCCAGAACCCTGGAAAATTAATTTGAAATATAGATCACATTACTCACTTTACAGAGGGGAAAATTCTGCCCAGAGAGGTGAGTTAGTAGCTGAGCAAGGACTCAAACTTGGTCTTCTTAATCCCCAATTCAGTGTATTTCCCCAAAATGATGGCGTAATAGTCTTCCCCTTTACCCCCAAACATCTATTCTTTCTACAGTTGTTTACTGAGCACTTTATGTATGCACAATGAACAAAGTAGAGAAAAATCCCTCCTTAATTGGGCTCACGTGATTTGTACTGTTATGTGCCATGGGAAAACAGGGTGAGAAAGGAGGAGACAGGTGTTGGTGGTGTTGCCCAGAAAACCAGTGACATGAGTTATGGAGATGAAGGTGGAGCTAGGGCCCCAGGCTTCCTGTAGCCGGTTGCAGCGGCAGGATGGCACAGTGCAGGTTTTCTATGACCCAAGCAGACTGGTGAAGGAGGCGTCCTGGAGCCCTCTGTGGCTTTTTCAGGCTTTGACATTTTACCAGGTACTCAGCAGGCAGGGTGCCAGGAGGCTGGCAGGCCTCCAGCCCACGGTGAATCTTCACTCTATCTGGGCTCTCCGGCCTTCTCTCGTGGCCTCTGCTGGTCTGCTCTCTTCTCTCGTTCTCTGGTCTCTCTTTCACTCTGCTGGTGTCCCCATGATGCTGCCCTTATAAACCCAGTCTAGACCAGGTGTATCCCACCTACATATGCCCACACCCTACTCCAGGTGTCCACCATCCGGCAGGCATTAAATCTAGTGGTGGGAGGGCGGAAAAGCCTGATACATAACTTACCCTACACCGGTAGGGTAATGTTAATACAGCATTTCTATTTCATTGTAGGTTAAAATGGATTTTTGTGAGGTGTCTTACGATCCTGTATCCTAAGATACAGCCATTGACATTATGTGTCTCAAATTTGAATCCAAGTTTACACTCCAGCTTTTGGAAACCATTGTCTTTTGCTTGGTGTTCCATCAGTATATAATTTCATTTCCCACAGAATTCCACTACCATTTTAATAACCTACTTACAAGCATTAATTTTAAGAAAACTGACCAAAATTCAGCAATGTGGGTGGCATCTGAAGTATGCTGACAAGGAAATGGCGACTTGGAGAATTGTAGCTCCTTGCTCACCACCGCAGCCCATGTTCCTGAGACACTGGGTTCACGTCCCGGTTTTCTGACTCTTTCATCATGAGTGAAAACAAATATATCTCTCCTTTATCACTTTTTGGTGATATGATTATATTCATCCTTAATTTTTAATCTTGAAGTTTGCTTTTATTAATTTGCTTTCTGTGTGAATTGGGAATATCTGGCAGAATAATTTTTTCTAAGATAAACGTGTAGGAACAGTTTTTTTGTGAGAAAATTTAAATATAGTAAAATAAATGCAATTTATACGATGATTGACATTGGTTTAGTTGTTCTGTTACTTTAAGAAAAAGGTAGAGCTAATGATGTTCTCTTTTATTTAGACCTCAAGATATTCCTTTTTTTATTTTCTAGTTGAACAATTGATATCAAATTTGAACATTTAGTAATGTAAATAACTCTCCTTTCTTTATCTTTAGAGAATTTAGATTCACCTCAGAAGTTCCTATTCGACTTGATTATCATGGCAAACACGTATCAATGGATCAGGTTTGGAACTTTGAACAAATTGCTATACACAATTACCTCATTTGTTTTTCTAATGGACTCAATTTTTAAAAACTTTGCTCTGTCGTAGTTTATTGTCATAGCTTATATATATGTTTGAAGTGATGTGCAAGATTTTTTAATTTTTTAAAGTAAATTATCATTTCTGAAGAACCCATGAATAAAAAAAAGACTATAAATTTTTATCTAAATTGTGTAAAATAGGTATTTTTTGCTGATAAATACTTAGTGTTTTAGCTTCATTAGTGACTAGTGCTTGACTTATCAGATAACAACTATTTTAAATGTTAAGTCTCTCAATTTGCAGATTAACCTGGCCTTTGTTAACTTTAAAGGGGACGTTAGCTGGGATTTTGATTGGTCTGGCCCAGTTGAACTGCTCTGAACTGAAACTGAAGAGACTCTTCTACCGGCATGGGTGAGTCGGTTATCCGAGGGCCTTGGGACAAAGTCACTAAAGTCAGTTCACCACAGATTATAAAGCGAGTTCTCAGCACACATACTTGATTGGTTTTACCAGACTGCAGAGGGCTCCTTTTTAGAGGATCTTTATTGATTATGGGTAATTTTTATTCTGTGAGAGTAGAAATAGCTTGTATAGTAGTGTTTCTCAAAAACGTCTAGTTATAGTTTTTAATTTTCCAGAGTGTAGAGGCCAGGAACTGGCCACAGTGCAGGTTTTCTGATCCAATGCAGACCGGGTAAAGGAGGAGTCAGAGTCCTCAGTGGCTTTTTTTGCAGGTCTTTTATTGGGGTTCACCAGGCATATGGCAGGCAGGGGTGCTGGCTGGGGGGCTGGCAGGCCTCCCAGCCCCCAGCAAGTCTTCACTCTATCTGGATTCTCTGGCATTCGTTCTGCTGCTTCTCGGCTTCTGCTTCGGCTTCTCCTGCTGCTGCTGGCGTCCCCGTCACGGCGCCCTTAAAAGCACAGTCTTAGCTCAGCTGAATCCCATCTACCTATGCCCACACCCTATTCCAGGTACCCGCCATCAGGCATGCATTCAGGACAAGGATCCATCATCTATCCTGATGGCGGAAGGGCAGAAAAGCCTGACATTTTCTTTACCCTACACAGAGTTATAAATTACCTTTTTTAGTGAAAAGATTGGTAGTTCACAAGGTAAAGCTTTTTAATAGCTAAGACCCATATGGCAATTTATAGATACTGAGTTAACCCTATGCCAGAGCTTCAGATATTTGAGAAATTAGAACAGGAAAAAGCAGTTGTACACATATGATCTGAGCCTTATAGAAATTACTAACCTGGGCCTCCCCTGGTGGCACAGCAGTTGAGTGCTGGGCTGCGAGGCTACCCACAGCCTCTGCAGCGCCGGTTCGTTCCCCAGCCGCCGGCAAGGGTCCCACAAAAAAAAAAAAAAAAAACCAACAGCCTTACAGTTAAATTATATGTATACACATTACCATATATGTATACATAGATGTACAGTACTGTATATGTATACATGTACAATTCAGATTGAACATCTATATTTTTTCCTTGCAATTTGTGAATTATGTTGTATATAAAAAAGAAAAAACACTAAACTTAAGCCTATACATTAATTTCTCCTTTCTATACACTAACAATCATTTGCTCTAGTTTGCTAGGTGTTGACAAACTATTCTCATATGCCATCACTGAATGGCTTACTGACATTAAGAAGAACCAGCTACCAGGAATCCTGGGAGGTGTTGGGCCTATGCATTCACTAGTCCAATTAGGTGAGTTTTCTTTTACTCAAAAAATAATTGTCTGGTTTTTTAGTTGCAGAGTCAACATGAGGAATGACTTTTTAGAAAACATACATGAGCAGACATTGCCTCCAGTTTTAGGGGCTAAAATCCCCAGAGTTAGAATGATAGCAGAGATCAGTGCTCCAGCGCCCCCACTGATTTCTGTGTGTTGACTGTTCCAGTGCAAGGCCTGAAGGACCTGGTCTGGTTACCGATAGAGCAATACCGGAAGGATGGCCGCATTGTCCGAGGGTTTCAGAGAGGAGCTGCTTCCTTTGGCACCTCAACAGCGATGGCGGCTCTTGAACTCACAAACAGGATGGTTCAAACCATACAGGTACCACTCTGTGGCCTGCCTTAATCTCTGCAAAGAGGAGGAGCATAACAATATAAGGAAAATACACAAAATGTTGAGAATTCTTTTATGTGTATATCTAGTGTTAAATAAGCAGTAGAATAAAGCAGTGGAATACTGTGAAGTTTACCTTTTTCAAGTTAGTTATAACCGTTAAGATAGCTGAGGATTTATTTTACGTTGGTGTGAAAAGATGCTAGCTAGCTGCTGCCTGCGTTACCGAATCAAACATAGTCACATTCAGGTGTGTCACATGAAGTACTAAGTACCAGTTGACATTCCAGTTGTTCACAGACTGCATTCTTTATTAACCTGGTAACTTGGAAAGTGTTCTCAGAGGACAGAGGGGGGACTAAAATAAATGAACTCAGTCCAGATATTAGTTTTTAATGTACACTTTAATATTCTTGCTATAAGGTAATGCTTGTAAAAAATGCAAGCACTGCAGAAGCACCTGATTGGGGTGTGTGAATCCCTTTGTCCTTCCTCACTCCCTGGGCATGACTCTCCAGACATTGTCTAATTAGCTCTGCTTTCTGATTAAAATAATCCAGGCAGCAGCAGAGACTGCTTATGATATGGTGTCTCCTGGCACCCTTGCTATCGAGCCCAAGAAGACCAAAAGATTTCCTCACCACCGATTAGCGCACCAGCCAGTAGACCTGAGGGAAGGCGTAGCCAAGGCCTACAGCGTCGTGAAAGAGGTGAGTGAGGACCGGTGGGGACAGGCTAGAACCTGTCACATTTTTCCTGGTATTCACCTGAAGAGCAGTCACTGGTTGGAATTTGTTTAAAAGAAAGCCCTAGGAGTGGATTTGGAACTCGTAGCACGTGCACGTGTCTGCACGGGGAAGAGAAGAGGGCCAGGTTGTGCCTGATAGACTCGGATGCTTGCGAGGAACAATGGAAACAAACACCCGTGTGCCCACCAACTAGATTTCACATCTATTCACACTTTGCTGTGTTGACATCAGATTTGTTTAAGAAATATAATTTTTCAGGTGAATTGCTCACCCTGATCTCATTCCCATACTTTCACGATCCTAAAAATGGCACATATTTTTTTCTGTACGTTTCTATGTGAACATGTACTCATAAACAAGATAAATTACTGTTTGTGTTCTAGAGTTAACATAAATGGTATCACATCGTCTTGCACCTTTTTTCTTTTAAGATGTATCCCTGTGGACTACATATAGCTCTAGCTTGAACTAATTTTATAGGAGTTCATTGTGTGAACAGACATACTTTATTTTCCTGTGGGTGGACATTGTTTCTGTTTTTCCCCGAAACACTGTTTGCAGAAATATTTATCTAAATGTACCTTTGTTGATCTATGCAGACGTTCTAGGGGTGGAGTTGGCTCTTTGTAACGACTGAATCTGGACATGGATCAAGCGTGGCCCAGTCGCAATGGGGGTGCGCACGCGAGCGTGCTCCTTCACGGGAGTGGTCAGGAGCATTCTCTGTCTTAATCTTCTTTGACTTTTTTTCTTTTTAATATGACACAAAAGAGCTTCAGGTCATTTTGCTTATGATTCGTGTGTTAGGATTTCCCATCATACTCTGTTGGCAGGCAGAAGGGCTGAGGCAACCTTCTCTCCCTTTTACGAAAGCTGCATCTGTGGGCCGACCACTGAGATGGGCCCGGATGTGACTGAGCAGATAAAGAAAGGCATGGCCATGGGCCCCTTTCTTAAAAATAGTGGCGACAGTAGAGAAAGAATTTCAGTGAGACCTGTTCTTACAGACGCCGGATGTTATCAGCAGCCATGTTAGAAATGAGGCTGTACACTGACTCTGGCTGGAGCTCAAGCAGTGATGGTGGCCAGCCAGCCCATGGCCTTTGCAGCCTGCAAAACGCGTACCTCGTGTCATCCTTTCATTAGATGTAAATACTTCCATGCTTACTTTGCACCAGGTATATGTGGTCCTTACAGCAAGGTGGTGTTGCCAACTCACAGGTGAGAAACAGGCTCAGCAAAAGCCACCTCCCTGGCGTGTGGTCCGTGGGGCCAGGGGAGGTGTTTGGGTGTCCAGCTGGGAGGAGTGGAAGAAGGTGGGAACAGCAAGCGTGGTTCTAGTGGAATCTGACTTCTGCATTTAACAACTTTTTAAACAGAGCTTCCTAAGGGGTGATAACTATTTCACAGACATTAATAACATAAATATCCCGAGAAAACACCCCATGTGTTTCACCGGGAAGTGTGTCCTTTGGGTCAGGAGGGCGGCCTGCAGTCAGGTCTGCTGTGCCTGTTTGCATTGAGACTTGCTGGCTCAGGATGATGGTTACCATTTTAAGGATTGTAAAAGGAAGAATAGATCACAGAGACTGTGTGGCCCACAAATATTTACCATCTGGCCCTTTCCAGAGAAAGTTTGCTGGGCTGTTTTATATAATCCCATGTCCTGGTGACCAGGTAGCTGTGCTGAAGGTAGTGGTAGTTAGTTAGGGATGATTCAAGGGACACACAATACCTGCTGGGCTGTGCCAAGTTCTGTAGATGTATTGTGTTAGAATTGTTGATTCTAACAGTCACCATGGTATTTTAATTCCCTATTTAAAGGCCCTGTCCAAAGTCAACAGCTAATGGCAGCGCTGAGATTTGAATCTGAGATTTGAACCAGACTTGATGGTGTTAATCATCATAGGATAACAAACTATTACCTACTGGCCATCTGTGAGTTAGGGAGGGAGCTGGGGAAAGAAGATAATGTGGGCAGTATACAAATTGTGAGCATTTTCTTCACTGTGTTCACAGTTTCTCTTCGTGGCTATGTGGATGCTTTAAAAATAGCACTTAGATTTTTTTTGTATTTCTTCTGGACTTTTTCTTTTTTAACCCCCTATGCCTTTATATATTTTGCTTGCTGTGCTGTGTCAAAATGACATTCTTGGTAACATATCAAAGTGTTGGCTAGATGCTAGGTTTGGATAAGGTGCCTCAGTTTCCCTGGAGAGCACAAGGGACCCTTTTCCTTCTCTGAAGACATTGGAACACGGCCTCATGTCCCCTCTAGGATTTCTGAGTTACCACCTAGTAGAGAGTCAAGAGTCCTGTGTGAAATGTGACCTTTGCATTAATAAACTTGGCTTCCAATCTTAGCAGTTGCGATTCTCTAATGTTGTACAGGCAGTTAGAACCATGAGAATATTACCCGACATGCTTTGCTTCTAATTATTAAACATGTTCCTGCTTTATGTTCTCAGAATTTTCTCTATTTAATTCAATAACTTGTTCTGTTTAGTCTGTTACCTTAATTGAATGTTCTGCAATTATCTTTCTAGGACATGATAAGTAACTTAAAATGAAATAATGATTTTCTGGAGCTTAGTAGAATTAGTTTTTCTTGTTATAGTCAAATCAAAGGCGCTATCACCATATTCCTTTAGTGATATTATTTATGCAGGAAGCTTTGTTTGCTAAGTTTGATTAATTACAATGATAGCTCTAGAAAAGCTACTCTTGGATCATTGAAGCTTTCTGTAAGTTTCTCTATGTGAAATCATATTTTGACTAAAATTTCTGCACATAAGTGTTGCAACAGATTACTAAATCTTAATTACCTCTTTTCTTTATAATTAGAATATTGTCATAAAAATACCCTGTTCTCTCAAAACCAGTTTTTTTGTTTAGTTACAGACATCATGCTGATGAACTACTAAGTGTGTGTTACAGGCTAGTTGCGAGGGTTTTCTGACCGTGATGCCCCCGCCCGTTGCAGGGAATCGCGGACACGGCGCAGACCATCTACGAGACGGCGGCGCGCGAGCACGAGAGCAGGGGCGTCACGGGCGCCGTGGGCGAGGTCTTGCGCCAGATTCCCCCGGCGGTGGTGAAGCCTCTGATCGTTGCCACGGAGGCAACATCAAACGTGTTGGGAGGTATGAGAAACCAAATTCGCCCTGACGTCCGGCAGGACGAGTCGCAGAAGTGGCGCCACGGGGAAGACTGAGCGGCGGACGGGCGTCTCCAGAAGATGGCCAGGCCGCGAGCGCCCCGGGACCCCGCCGTTAGTTTTACTGTGCCCATCTCAGGAACAACAGCGTTTCTTAGTTCAGTGATGTCATAGCAGAACAACATGCAACCAAACATTCTTGACGTTTAGGCTAGTCTGACGCTTGCCTGTGGAAATGTTTGGTGTCAAAAGTCCTTAAAGCATTTGCTGCCAAGTTAGGGGCGCTTGCTTGCTTTCAGCGGCCGTGCTGCTCCTTGTCCCGGTGAGACGTCGTGCAGGCCTCCTCGCTCAGCAACCAGGGCTCAGGAACACTGGAGCTTGTGAAAGCACTGTGGCTCTGAGGAGCCGGTTTTTCTCAAGGTCTAAAAAGAATCACAGCTTCGAAAGTTTCATTGGCTGAGCGACAGAAGGCGCAGGAAAGCACAGCGAGTGGGATGCCCAGTTTGGACTTCAGTCTGTGGGGTAGTGTTGGTGCGCTGAGAGCTACGGTGTCCCGCGCTGGCCCGCCCCTGGGGGTGGGGAAGGCGATGCCCAGCCAGGCTCTGTTGTGTTGCACTTTATCCCGTATGTGTGTAGATTAATGCAAGTCACGTGCTGTTTATGTTATTTACAAAGTCACACAAAATATAAAAAGTCAGCCTGAAAGTTTCTGGCAATGGTAGCTCAAATGTAATAGCTTCCATTTACTTTAAGTGTAAATGAAAATGTGCATTCTGTAACGACCTGGGGCCCACCTAATTGTTTCTATGTTCAAATTTGAGCAGGTGTAGTGCACACTTGTTAGGGTCGTGTGGAAAGGGAGACTTTTTATGGAGACGTGTGGAAGTGGTTTCTACTCTTTTAAAATTAACCAAAAATCCTCCAGGTATGCCCTAGTCATTTATTTCAAAGTACCGTTTTTACTTGGTTAACAATGTACATTTTGATAACCTGTCAGGAATGAATAAAGTATTTTTATTTAAAGGTAATGTTGTTTATGCTTCCACAAATATTTTGCTTTCTTAGAGTGTGTACATAGATGCAATACTGTGATTTATCCCAGGATACTTGGGAGCACTTTCTCAGCCTTTGTCCAGTTAGTATCGAGTGAGTTGTTACCCAGGAGTGAGAGCTCCCTGTGCCCCGGGGCATGGTCACCGACCTCAGCTCAGTCTGGAGAAAGTACCCGCAGGGCTCGGCGCTCAGCCACTGCGTGAGGTTGCGGCTGCCACTCACTTCCTGAAGTTGGGCTGTATCAAGGAGGTGGATTTGGATTTCAGATCTTCCTTTCAATTTGGGGTTTGGGAAATGATCGAGATTTAGAGATTTTGGTCTCTAAATTTTCTAAACAAAGCAATCAACGCAAACCAGCCTGCTTCTCAGGAACATTCCCACTGCCTGCTCATCAACCCCAATATTCTCCGTTTTCCCTTACAATGAATGGGGTGTGCTGAGTATATTCTCTAATGGTGACTCAAGCTGAAAGAGTTTGAGCAAACCTAAAAATTTTAAGTTTGCTTAATGCTGAAATGTTTTCCATAAATATGTTTAGAAAAGTGTCTTTAAACTTTGATATTACAGTGACACAGCTGAAAAAAAAAAAGGTGTGGGGCAGGGTCCTCAGGTGCCGTCTGCAACTCAGCTAGTGGACAACTCGGCCCAGACATTTTATTTCTCTAAGCTGCTGTGTTCCTCTCTATAAAGAAGGTGTGTTTCATGGCAGAGCCCACCAGAGATTTGGGGTGTTTAGGGGGTGTACATATGTGAGTGTGTGTGCGTGCACGTGTGTGAATAATGGTACAGGATGTGACCCTGAGTGGCGTGCCCCAGGCCTGTGGCACTCAGACCCGTGGCTCTGGCTCTGGTCACCACACCCGCAGAGTGGAGCAGGCTACTTGGGATTTTGCATTTCTGAGCAGTGGTTGGTGCCTGCCTGCAGGCTGGGCTATGTATGGGTGTGGTAGTGATGACTGGAGCAGCCTGCTTGTGCTTGCTCGTTGCTGGCCTCGGAGGCATTTCTCCCAGGAGCCAGGTCAGCAAGCTGGATCCAGATCTCTCCTGAGTTTGTGAACCCCCCCACCCAGTGCTAGGAGCACGTGGGTCTGCGTGACCTCACCCTGTCAAGGCAGACAAGACCACGGTGATGATTTCTCTTAAGTGGGGCTTATTTGAATCCCCAGTTTCCCTTCCTGCCTGTCCCCAGATTGCTGTTACTTACAAGTGGAGCATTCACTCCACATTTGCCTTATAGGGTAGATAGAACACAATTTTTTCCCTTCATCATAGCAGTAAATGTAGGTTTTAATAGTTTGGATGCAATTTGGATTCCCATTTAAGCATAGATACTTAACATCTATATTTTTATAATGCAGAACTCACCTTAAGGGAAAAAAAATTCCCAAATAGCACTTTAGTTACCTCCCAAGCACCTAAAATGGCAAAAATACAAAATGCTAGTGTTTCCTGCCTGCTGTCATTTTAAAATGCTATTGAAATATTAACAGTATTTAACCGAATTACTTTCTTACCATTTCCATTTAAGCTGTTCTGTAGACTTGATAGCTTTGTTGAGTTTCAAAACAGTCCAGAGCAGCTGCTGGTTGGACTGGTTCTGGCCTCTCACCAGGGGGCACTAAATGGCTTCAAGACTAATGACTGTCTTAACAATTTACATTTTGCATATGTATTCAGCTGTGTGAGTTAAGAGAAATCATTTAACTTTGCCTCAGTTTTCTACACCCGCTTGCGTGTCATGCCCAGGAGCGTGGAGAGGGCGGCCGGGTGGGCCTGCTGTGGGGCAGTTGCATGCTGCACCCCTCACATCCTCTTGACCTACTTGGGTCAGTAGAGAGAATGTAAAGTGTTTTAAGTTCCTTGAAAGTAAGGAACTGTTCAAGCACAAGTGAGACTCTTGTATCTGCAAGTGCACCAACTACACGTACCAACTGTCATGAAGCAGATTAAGTGTAAATTTGTGAGTCTGAAATTTAAAGGAGGCTCTCTGTAGAGTATATAGATAATGGAGGGGAAAAAAGACTTTCTTCATTACCAACAAATCTTTCTGTTTACTGGAAGTTACAGTCAGTCTTTTCATATATGAATAATTGAGTGCTTCAATGCCAGTTTGTTTTTATCTCACTGCTTTTGGGATCATCTAGTCACACTGCTCTTTTTAATAGACTTTATACGCACAGTTCAAGTCAGCCGGTTTTAATCAGAAATATTTTCACGGTAGCGCCTGCCAATCAGAGAAGGGACACATGACCGGCCTCTTCGGGATAAGAGCTGTGGCTTTCAGCTGTTCATATTTTGCATTGTCAGCAACTTTTGAAACCATGTATTAGAGAGACATTTTTGCCTCCCATGGTGACTATCGGCCCCTGGGCCCTGACACAGTGCCCCCTGAAGCCGCAGCATCAGGCCCTGCATTTCGGGAGCTGGGAATGCGCCTGCCTGGCGCCCTGGCACCCCACGCTCTCGGGGTGGGAGGAGCAGTCCCTCCTTTGACAAGTAGGTTCGATTTGCAACCTCAATGTGCTTGGTGTAAGGTGGGTTCCAAGCTCCGAGCCAGTCTGTCTTGTCTCGTGTGTATGACTTGTTTGTCACGCGGGTGTGCGCGTTCCCCATGGCTTCCCCGAGGGCACTGGCTCGGCCCTCATGCTAATTCACCCCGACCCACCTCCCGACATAAGAAACCTGCCCGTGTGCACCACTGTCACTGCTGTCTCTGAATTTTTCTAAAGTACTTATGGATGTGAACACGTAATACTGACTCTGTACCTGTATTTTTGTGGCAATGTAACTTGTTACGTGTGACTTTAAAATATGAAATTAAGAATACTCTTGAAGAAAATTAAAATAGTTGCTCTTTGGAGTTTGCTTTAAACACTATTGTCTTTCGCCGAGAACTGTTCCCCAAACCTGTATCAAGGATTTTTGGGCTTGGGGCGGGGTGTCAGTTCCTGTTGTTAGAAAGTGATGTTCCTACAGTCTGGACCTTCCAATGGCAGGTCAAGTCTCGTCTCTCTCTGCTGCCAGGTTGAGCCGACAGGCAGGTGGTCGCGAGTTAGGGACCCTGCCCCTCAGTACACGCGGCAAATGCATCTTGTAGCTTTGGCCTTGGGGACTTAGAATACCGATAAACCCCTTCTGCGTGAATATTTTTCTTTCTTTTTTTTTTAAAGATTTATTTATTCATGCAAGCACTGGATACAGTCAGAAGCGTGGGAGGGTGAGAGAATTCACCAGAGCCAGAGCGGGGAACAGAACAGGCAGACCGATGAAATATGCTGCTGAGGGGAGCAGCAGGCGCTGCAGGAGAGGTCTGCGCGCCATGTGGGACCCTCACCGGCGGCCGGGGATCGGACCCAGGCTGCAGAGGCTGCGGGCTGCTTTGCAGCCCAGTGCTCAACCGCTGCACCACCAGGGGAGGCCCAATATTTTTATTTCTGATAGGAATGTTTAAATATTTATTTTTAAAGTCAATAAAAGAGATTTGACAGGTATCACTGGAAAGCCATCCACTTTGGACAACCAGGGAAAAGTCACATGTCGCACTTCACTCGTGGCTCTGTGGAAGGAGGAAGGGATCCTGTGTGTGCCCGATGTTGCATGTTCTCCCTGCGCCCCCACGGCCTCCCTGAGAGGCAGTTAGGAGAGCCCCTGGACAAGTCAAGGAACTTGTTCAGTTCATGGTTTACCCCCAAATTCCATGCCTATTCTAGGACTTAGAAGGAACTTAAACAACTGTCTAAGCTAGTGGAAACTTTATTAATTAGGAAACTAAGAAAGGAAGAGTGTAGTTAGAGGCCCTGAGAGTGATTGCGGCTCCTCCCTCTGCACGCTTCTGGCTCCAGCCCCGTTAGCCCTTCAGTTCTGCCACATTCCTGCAAGCAGGATTTTATTTTCAATCCTGAAGCTCCGGTCCCACTCATACCTTTTAAACCCGGACATGGGGTTAACTCAGGGCCTCCCCACCTCCATACTTTTGACATCCAGTCTGGACAATATTTTGCTGCATTCTGGGCGTCACAGGGAGGTGAACAGCATCCTTGGCCTTACCCCCGGATGCAAGTGGCACCCTCTTCTCCAACTGTGAAACCCCAAAAATGTCTCAATATAGTCACATCTCCTGGGTGGGGAAACCCCCTGGGTAACAATAATATACAGCCTGGCAGAAGAGCAGGGCAGGAGGCTCCCCAAGGCCCTGTCTAGAATTCTCTGCTTGCTTCCTCCCCCTGTCAGCCTAATGGTTATCTTCTTCAGATGAGACCCAACTCCCTACCTACTCCACAGCACGTTCCCTTTTTCCAGGGAAATGACTTGTAAGTGGCATCTCAGCACGTTTGGAAATCAAAGAGAGGGTGCTTGAGCACGTCTTTTGCATTTGGAGATAGCTGAGAAGAAACGAACGCTGGTACTTCCTTACAGTAAGACCTTCTAAGGTGATCAGAAGAGGGCAAAAGAGTCTTTTTTTCAGCTTCTGAGATAGTAAGGAAAACATGACTGTTAGGTGCGAAGTACTAGCTGTTTCCAAAACCCTTATATGAGCATTGTGTCAGCTGAGATGCAGCCGATTATTTTTAGAGTGTTGGAGACCTCAAGGCGATCCCTCCAAGGAACATTTAACATTTCCTAGAAGTTCAGCAAAATGTTTCATCGGGTTCAGTATCTGTGGAATGCACGTCTGCAAAGAGAGGCGGTCTCACCACTCAAGCCAAACACACATGCTCACAATGTGAATTTGCTTGTGATCCACATTACAAGGATATAAGCATATAGTTCAATTGGCAGCAAAAGAGGGTAATGAGCCTCTTGGCAAAGTTCGAGATTGGACTTTGGTCCAGGCGCTCCTGGAATTTGTCCCTCTGCAAGGGAAGCTGCCTCTTGGGACCTGATCCCGTAGGCTCTCGCCAAACCTTTGGAGTTTGGGGGGACCTCCACCCCAAACATCTCCCTTGAGCAGGACACACTTCTGTGCTGCCCCGGGTTCCTCCTGCTGCATCTGGTGCACAGAATCCTCCAGGAAGAAACGCCATTAGCAAGATATGAGACCCACTTAAAATTTAGTGGAACTGCCAGTTACCCTCCTGCCGACCCCGCTCACATATACGGGGACATCAACCAGGTCAGTCACTCAAAAAAAAAAAAAAAAAAGAAATCTTCTGCAGAGATCTTGAAACAACCCTGTTAAGAGAAATCGGTGCCTTTTCCTATGTGCACCGCTGCGCCCTGGACAGACCTGCGGGAACCTTGGTGGGACGCGCTGCGCCGCCGGCGCCAGCAGGGGGCGCGCGCTCCCCTCCCGGCTGGCACAGGTTTCGCAACAGCCCCCCCCCCCCCCCCCCCCGCAAAGCTGCAGGGGCACCTCGGAGGCTGCCCAACTGCCCCACGCACCGCAGGGAGGCTTTGGAAAATTCCCAAGCGCCCTAACCTTCACCAGGCCTCTCTGTGCCGGCTTCCTCTCGGCGGAGGCCACTGCTTACGTTTAAAATTAAAATGTCGTTTTATTGCATGATTAATTTCTCCTGCACCTGCCGGGCCGTTTGGGGACACACAACAGACCCGTTTCTCCCTCCCGGAGGCCTGGGAAAGTTGCCTCTGGAGAAGTTTGCGCAGCTCCAAATACCGACAGGCAAGGCTTGGGGCGTGAGATGACAGAAAAGGCCCAATATTCAGACAGAGAGCGTTGGTCTCCCCTGCAGGGCCGTGGAAAAGGGATTGTGAAACAGAAACCCGCGCCAGTCTCTGCCGGATCCTTCCTCCCCCCGAAACGCAGCCCCCAGTCCCCCACTCGGGCTGGGGTGGGGGTGAGGCGGGTCCGCACCGTCCTGGGGCGCGGAGTGGGGGAGGCGCGTCCGGGCTCGTCTGCAACCGAGAGAAACAACAATTTAACGCGATGCGTTTAAAAAATTCAAACGAATGCAGAACACCCGCGAGGAGCCAGACACCAGCGTCGTGCACAGGGTCGGGCTCTGCACCCCCCACGCCCCCACCTCCACCCCCGCTCTTGAGGCACCCTCCGGGCTCTGCGGGTCCTGTCTTTACTGCAGGGATATTTGGTCATTGGGGATGGATCTCATTCTCGCTTGGCTCATCCGTCCCAAACTCCCCTCCACTCCCCCATCAAAAGGTGGTTTGTGGGACGATGAGGGGAAAGTGACATGGGGGGAAACCGGGGGGCTTGGCGGGGGGCGCTGGTGCCAAAATCAAAGCCCTACGTCGCTGCGATGAAGACTCGAGCAGAGGCCGATTTCTCAAAAAATGATGTTTATGCCATCACATCGGTTTATGACAGTGTGTGATTTCGGGGTGCAGGCTCTCAGGCTGGGAATGCGTGTTATACCAGGCTCACTGCCAAAGCCCCCCAGTTCTCCACCGCAGCCCGGCGACCCTTCCCCTCGTGCATCCCCTTCTGCTCTGGTAGCCTCAGCCCTGCAGCTGCATCTCAAGGGGCTGCTTTTGTCTGTTCCTTTGCTTTATTTTCATGCTCCACATGTAACTGAAACCAGGTGGTGTTTGTCTTTCTCCCTCGCCAGGCTTGGGTGTGAGAGGGGGACGGTGCTCGCGCACCAGAGGCCGCTGGGCCGCTGCGCCAGGCTGCTCTGCCCTGACTGTCCTGTCTTCTGCTCTGCGAAGGAGCCCGGCGCCAAGCCCCCCCTTGCTTCTGCTTCCCCAGCCCCCCTGCTCCCCTCCCCTTTGTCCAGGTCAGCCCTTGAAGGCTGCAGTCCCACCACCTGCGGGAAGTCTCCCCCAGTCTCGGGCCTGCCTTCCGGGAGGGAGGCTGCTGTTGAGCAGCTGGGCCAGATCAGCTTGAAGAGTTCTCAGCTGCGTCAGGGGTCGTTCCCAGGGGACATCGAGGCTGTCTGGAGATTTGTTTTTGTTGTCACTATCGGGGGAGGGTGACTGCTCTGGCATCTGGTCCTATGAGGCCCCACAGCAAAGAACTCCCTGGCCCCAAATGTCCATTGTAGGGTAAGGAAAATGTCAGGCTTTTCTGTCCTCCCGCCATCAGGATAGATGATGGTCCTTGTGGTCCTGAACGCATGCCTGCTGGCGGCACCTGGAGCAGGGGGTGGGCATAGGTAGATGGGATTCACCTGGGCTGAGACTGGGCTTTTAAGGGCGGCGTCACGGGGACGCCTATAGAAGCCAAAAGAGAAGCCGAGAAAGAAGTAGCAGAAGCCGAGAGAGAAGCAGAGAAGGCGGGAGAGCCCAGATAGAGTGAAAACTTGCTGGGGGCTGGGTGGCCTGCCAGCCTCCCCGCCCCCCAGCACCCTTGCTGCTGTGTACCGGGTAAATCCCAGTAAAAACCTGCAAAAAGCCACAGAGGACTCTGACTCCTCCTTTACCCGGTGTGCATGGGATCAGAAAACCTCCATGTCCTGTTCCTGGCCCCTACAGTCCATGAACCCAGAACCCCCGAATCCACACCCGCTAAGATAATACCAAGGATTTTGTGAAACTTCCCCAGGAACCAGATTTGCATTTTCTCACTGGACTTGCATGTTTTTGCCCATATTTTGGGACTTGAGGACCGTGTAGGAAGGGGTGGGTAAGACAGCAGGACACCTTGTGAGGACCCAAGGGTTCCTCACCTGCGTCTGGTCGGCAGGAGGCCAGGTGGGGGAGTGCGGTGGAGGGGCCTCGAGGCCGTCTTTGTTACTGCGGAGGGGCTTTGTTAGGCGTGTGGCAACGGGGGGCTTCCTAGTTCTAGATCCCAGGCTGACTGACCCCCGGAGGCTGGGGCGGTGCTGACAGCTTCTCCCACTGGGGCGGAACGCAACCTTCTGGCTGACCCCGTGGCAGAGGCAGACCAGAGTCTGCAGACTGGTGCTCCCCGAGGGAGCCTGGAGAGCTGCAGGCTTAGTCTTGTGCAGC